GCCACCTCCTACGTCAGACCTGATGCCCAAAACACCAGGTTAAAGAAAGGTGAAGATATTGGCTTACAGCTGATAAGGCCTCTGGTGGTCAAAATTCAGAATTGCATATCAATTATCGACTGATTCCTCAACTCACACAAGATAGGCACGTCTGCAGCTGAAGGCACCCAATTTATTAACAGTGTGAGTTCATCTGTGGAGTGCATAATTGGTGGAGCTGACATCTGAAATGAAAGCACCTCAGCCAATTGTCACCTTGGTTTGGTTAGGGTTTTTGTTTGTTTGTTTAAGGCCCTGAAGTTTTAGTAATGGCGACAGTGCAGTAATAGAGAGCAAGATAAAACAAAATAAAATGCTGATGCTTGCCTGCCGGGTGGGCATTGCTGCTCTGTGGAGGACTCTTAGACAAGCTTCTTACTGCTCAGCTGCACTGGTTTGGAATCTGTGAAATAAATTTTGTGGCTGCAAATGTGGAGCGCAATAGTGTTGGTAGTGCTCAAACCCCAATCCACCTTTACCCCATAGCATTTGTCCTTTGGGGCAAATCACTTGTCCCTTGCTGGGGGTGGATGAATCTGTTGATTTTGTTTGGAGCCTGTTTTTACGTTATTCACTTTGTTTCTACAGTAGCATGTGATGTTTTAAAACAAAAGTATGTATGCATTTTATGTGTATTTCTCTTAATACATGTATTATTTTCATATCTTATTTTCAATTGTATAAACATAGTTGTGTGCACTTTCCCCAAATATACACATTTTTTACTATATTAACCGCCCTCCCCAAAGAACTGCGTTGCAGACAATAGAGAAATGCACATACTGAAGGACAGGTATATTTTGGTTTAGGAAGTGTGAATTAGGTAGGTTTGCATTAAAATATCGACTAAACGAATTATTCCATCACCCTGTCTCAGATGGGTGATGTACATTTGTGGTTGTACATTGTACATTTGTGGTTTAGAGCAAGTAATTCTGAAACATTTTCAACCACAGCATGAGAACCATATATATTGTTTGCTCTGTTCTTTGTCCAGAACAGTTCAGAACACAGGTTTAGCTATCAAAGGTGAGATCACAGTGTCATATGATGGAGTGTTAGTCTGGGGATGCAAGAGATCAGGGTACTAGTCCCCAGTTGTCCAAGAAGCTCATTGGATGAGTTTGGGTGAGTCACAGACTCTCAGACCAAGCTACCTCACAAGGTTGTTGTGAAGATGAAATGGAGCTGCCTTGGGTTCCTAAGAAAAGAAAAGAAAAGAAAAGAAAAGAAAAGAAAAGAAAAGAAAAGAAAAGGAAGATATACATGAAATGTAACAATAATACTATGAGTGGTTTCTATGAGTGCAAAAGAGGTTGGAGGAGATACAGGATGGTGGAATTAATTGGGCATAGATGAAGGAAAAGGGGGGTTAGGACAAAAGATCTAAAATACCCATGTATCTAAGAGCATGGTTGTTACTGTCAGAAACTAAGCTTTTGAATAATTAGTTGTAGGCATGTTTTCTGTTGAAACGTGCATGAATTGTGTCTTTGATTGCATTTCTCCTAATCAGTGTAGTAAATGGGTGAGGGTTTAAAGATTTATTTGTTCTAATTTAGATGTAAGGATATATTTAGCCTAAGGGAAATAAGTGCAAAGGGGGAAAACATTGATCTTAAGCATGCTTTTGAAAGTTTGCTTTTCACTGCTATTGCATTATTATTAATCTAGTGGGTTAAAAGGCATTAGAAAAGAACCACTTATCTGTCAAAGAGCAGTTGTTCAAGAGAAGGGGTAGAACAGTGAAATGCTGAATATCCCTCACTAGAGAAAGGCTCAGTGCAACCCCACTGAAAACAGCTGATGAAACCTTAGGAAAAGTTCTCCTTCCATTCAGTTTCATTGTGCTATTTAAATATTTTGGACAAATGTCAGTGCCAGGATAATAAGAGCTAGGTAACTGCCTTTCAAGAAATATAACTCAGAATTATCATGAGTTGCTGTACAGAAAAGTGAAAGAAGTGTTCTGTTGCCATTTAGGCCCACAAATCTTGCTCTAGTATAGTGTAGGTGCAGTCTGAGCCTTGGAAGGCAGCAATGAAGGAACTAGAAAATATCATCAAGCACTGGAGACCATGCTTACCGTACTGGAGGAGAGCTTTGTGAATACCCTGGACTGACAAAAAGACGAACAAATGAATCTTAGATCAAATCAAGCCAGAACTTGGCCTGGAAGCGAAAATGATGAATGAGTCTGTTGTACTTTGGACACATCATGAAAAGGCAAGACTCACCGGAAAAGATAGTAATGTTAGGGAAAGTTGAAGGCATAAAATGAAGGAAACAAAATATGAGATGGCATGATTCTATAAAGGAAGCCAAATCCTTGAGTTTATTAGAACTGAGCAGGGCTGTCAAGGATTGGAGATTCTGGAAGGCATTCAAATGAATATCTTCCAAAAATATGGAAAAATGCAGCAAATTTGTCATATGCTTGGCACCTGGTTAAGGTGACCCACTTTTCTGAAGCTTTTAATGACTTCCACAGCCAGCCAGAAACCTGAGGGGAGATCACCAAGTGTTTAACTGAGTCTCTTGCTCTCTCCTTCCCCTCTTTTTTATACTCCTTGTTATTGCATGTTTTTATTATTTGTTTTAAACTTTAATATTTTATCTGATGTTATGATTTTTATTGTACTCTTTTCTGTTCTTACCGACTGTGCAAACTGCCCAGAGAGCTTTGGCTGTGGGGTGGTATAGAAACAGATAAATAGGGAAACAACTTGATGAAACAGCAAACAGTTGCTGATTTTCACATGTATCCAATCTAGAACATATTTCTGTATATACACACACACACACAAATCACAGGGCAATAGGCAACACTTTCAATTGTTCCAAAAGGGAGGGAGGGACTAACACCTCCCAGTAATGGAAATTCCTTGACATGATAACAGGCAATGATTTGAGGTGACTGGTGAAGGGTTAAATAATGAAAGTTTTCAAGTTCTATCAAGTGGCCACTGCAATTACACATAAGTCCAAAGCTAAAATTCCTCAAGCTGAGAGAATTGCGTAGCATCCCCGGATCGGTATCAAGGCTCTTCAAGACAGAAAACAATTTGATGACTCTGGTCAGTTTACCTTTGCATGCCTTGAACTTGTGGCTTCCTGGAAATGGATTAGCAAAGCAAATATTCTCTCCCTGTTTATTGAATATCCCTTTGTTTTTTCCAAACCCAGCAAAGCAATCCTATGGGGGAAGGGGTGGTAGAAATTAAAGTGGAGACTCTGCCTGTGTTCTCCATTTCCAGCTTTTGCCAGCAGGGTGGAGGTGGTGAGGTGCCCTTATCCTTTTCCAGGTCAGTTTTTAGGGTCTTAAAAACATCTCTTCTCATTGCTTCCAATGAGAGAGAGAGAGAGAGAGACAGTATTAGCTCCAGGGTGGTGCAGTTTGCTATCATGGAAACTAGAGGATTTGGGATCTTGTGGGAACCAACATCTACTTGCCATGTTCATCAAAAACCTCTTCTTAACCCTCTCTGAAGTCAGAGGAGCACTGGCCATCCCACAGCCTCATGGAGCAGGCTTCTAGGCCACCCACTCCAAAGGTGGCCCTCTTTCTCCACTCTTGGAAAGGGAGAGCTGAAAATCCTGTAATCCCTGGTGGACATTGCTGTAGACTATAAGATTGCATCCTAAATCTAATACACACACACTCCAATCTGTGGCAAAGAAGTCTAATTCCTTTCCTTTTAGGTTCCAACATCTGTTTCAAGGAAAGATCCAGGGTATCATACATACTAGCTAGGAATTCTGAAAGTTGTGGGAGGGTTTTTTGTGCGTGAATGTGCATATGCTTACATTTCAAGTCTGGGGCCTAAAATTACCTACCTCCCTGCTGCTGAGAACACAGTGGAAAACTGCAAGGGGTGTGTGCGAAAAGTCTGTTCCATTTGTCCTGCTTTTGGACTTCAAAGCATCTGACTGATCACTGCCAAAGACAGGGTGCTATATTCAATGGCTCTTTCTGGCTTGGTCTAGCATACCTTAACATCTTCTTTTACCCCATGGCCTAATCCAGCAAGTTCTGAGTATATCTACTCAGATGTAAATTCCACTCACTTTAATAGGATTTACTCCCAGATGAATGTAGACTGCAGCCTTACTTATATACATCCAGTGCGGCAGACTTAAGGTATGTGGAATATATATAGAAACCTGAGTTGCCCCAGTGGGAGCCATGTACAAAATAGTAACCCAGTATGTGTGTGCATAACACCAATCATTACTGCATTCACCAGCAAGTATGGTGTGGTGGTTAGAGCGTAGGACTCCTTACTCCATAATGAAGCTCACCAGGTGTTCTGGGTTTGCTGCAATGATATGATCGAAAGTAGGTAAACTGTTCTGGATTCCTTGGAAGAGGGAAAAAAGGCAGGATATAAATGTAGTAAATAAAAGAGCTGCGTAAATACAACTGAATCTATCAACCCGTTTTTAGATGTGACCCTATGCATGCTAAAAGTTTTAAAACTTTTTTTTCTGTCAAAGCAAGCATGGCTGACTGGAGAAGGATGCTGGGAGCTGTAGGCCCTTTGCAGGCGAAACAGGATAAGCTGGCTGAGGCATTCTAGGAACCATATGTCTTATCTCTTGTCTCAACATGCAATCCCACATTAGCTATCCTGGGAATTGTAAGATTTTTAAAACATTTTTTTTCTCTGTCGAAACATGCATAAGATTGCACCCTTAGAAGCGAGCTGCTGATGATCAGAACGCAATACTATCTTGCCCTCCCGACGGATGCCCGCAAACCAGCGCCCTATCCCGACGCTCCCCTGCAGCGACTACCGCGCCGCGCCCGCGCCGCGCGTCTTTCCCAGAGCCAGGCTCTGCCCCTCACGGCCTCCCAGGACAAAAGAGAGCCGCCTCAGTGCGGCTAGAGCGGCACACCCGGAAGCACCGGCCATCTCCTTTTTCTCGTATGCCGGCGCGGCTCGGACCTCGCTGAGCGTCAATGTGCAGGGCAGAGGCGCCGTCGCCTGACGTGGCAGTCGAAGCGGCAGTGGCGCTTCCTGAGGAGCCCACGAGCCCGTCCCTCGCCCCCTTCCTTGCCGTCTCTTGCGCCGCCTTTGCGGTCCGTCGCTCAGCTTGGTGAGCGCGCCCGCCCGCGCCATTCACTCTCCTCCTCTTGCCTTTCTCAGCCCCCTTAAGGACCTGCAGCGCCGCGCCGCGCCGGCGTCTAAGCCAAGCTACGCGCATAAACCCGCATCCCTCTCTCTCATTTTCTCATCCTCCCCACGCTGCGTCGGAGCCTTGTGCCTGGCGCCTCTGCCTGCGGCTTTTTCCTGCCTTTCTCTCCTCTGCACTCGCTTGCAGGATGGATTTACCCGCCAGCCAGTGCAAAAAAGTCAAGCTGAGTAACAAAGTGCAGAGCTGGGTAAGTTCGAGATTTGGGTGCTGATGGAATTTTCTAGGTACCGATTGTAACTGTTGCAGATTCACCTGGTGGGGAGAAAGAGATGCAAAAATGGGGAAACGGTGGGGGAAGAGGAGAGGGTTGTTTTTCTCTCTGCCTGCCCTTTAACTTTAAGGGACCTTAATTGAGAGGAAAGCTCAGCTGGGGCTCGCTGGCCCCTCGCTCTCTCTTGCACAAGATGTTCCGGATTGCGAATGGGCGGTATCTGTGTGGGGGCGAATAATGCAAGCTATTCGGGATGCCTAAGGAGGAGGATTGCATTTCAGCTGATTTCACTGACGTCTCTACGTTTTTTCTTTAAAGGGAGAAAGGACGTGTGTGTGTATGGAGTGAGGGTATACTTCAAATTGCTTCTCTTGCGTTTGGCTCTGTATACAGAACCTCTTTGTTGAATAAGCTCAAATACCACTGTTCTTTGTTGCCTTGGCTGCCTCCACCCTGATGAACGTTTGCTGTAAAAGTTATAGGTGCCAGAAGGGCTGAGAAGTAGAGACATTAACCTGCTCGCTGCCTCCTTCAGCATCATTTCTTTTCCCTTTTTTTTGAGGCAGGAAAGGCTAGGGTTCTCAAATGTACAATGTGACCATTCATAAATCTTGGACAGCTTGAGAGACTGAGGTTCTTTGTGGGATTTTGCTTGAATGAGAGCACTGTCAAAGCAGGCATGAACAAACTTGGGTTTTCATCACGAAGGTGCCAATGGGTCAATTTGCAGTATAGGCCAAAGACTAGCAAACTGCCAGGCACAGTCCCCAAAATAAGAGGCCTTTGCTAGAAAAGAGACAGTGGCTTTGATGACATGTAATAGCTGCAATTATCTGGAGATAAAAGTGTGTCTTGAGGCAGTTCAAAGAAACAGTATGATTCAAAGTGAGAAGGAGTCTGTTCTGAATTGTCATTGAAGAAGCTTCTGCTTTCTGTTTGGGGGAAAAAGGGCAATGCTACAGGGCCAGCATTTCAGGCCTCACAGAGGAGAAGTTAGCATTTCTGAGTCTGGCTACCGCTTGTTGCCATGTGTTCCTTGTCCTCCCCAAAAGATGGAAGATTTTTCCATCTTCCTCTTTTATTTATTTTATTTTATATGTAGGATGATGCAGAACTGCCTATACTATTGGCCTATTTAATCCATTATTGTTAATACTACCTGCTAGTGTTTCTGTGTTGTTTCAGACAGGAATCTTTCAGCTGTAACTGGAGGGGCCAGAGAGGAAAGCTGGGGCACATGCAAAGCATGCATTCCACCACTGAGGCCCATCTCCTTCCGAAATACATGTATATTATATTATATTTATTTATTAAAACAATTTTATGCCACCCCATTCGCCGAAGCCTCGGGGCGGCTTATAACATAGATAAAACAATAAGTTAAAATATCCATATAAAATAATCTCAATTAAAACACACATTATAAAATAAGCCGCCCTGGCCAGATAAAATTCAATTGTATTTAGCATTTAAAATGTTGCTTAAATAAAAAAAAATATTGACATGTGTGCATCTCTTTGCTTTTCCCTTTCCAGAAGATCCAAACAGAAGGTTTTTGAAATGCAGTCTTTTATTTGAGGTAGACAGCATTTGTGATACAGGGTGCTTCATAAGAAGCTTATTTTCAAATAGTATCAGAATAGTATTACAAACTGAAGACCCCTTTTTCCCTTCCTTTGCCAAAAGGCTTGACTCCACCCTCGGGAAAGTTGGTGGACCAGTCAGTGGTGGGATGCTGGAATTATCTGATTTAGCTCAACATTGACTCACTGGGTTAATGAATCCACACAGATCTTCCTTAGATCCTCCCTGTTTTACAGTGTCTCTTTTGCAAAAATCTGAAGCAGTTTGGTTCTCAGCAGTTGTCCAACAAATCCTTCTCATGAACCTTGAAATTTCTGGGCCACATTCCAACCCCTTTTCTTTCCTATCATATTCCTACTCTGAACTTTCTAACTAGGAGTGCTGTGTTTTGAGAGAAATGGGCCCCGTCTTTCCACACAGTCACGAAAACACACATGCCTACCAGCAGTGGTGGCTGGTGCCCCTTGGGGCTGATGGGGAGCATAGCAATACAACTGATTGCAGCCAGAGTCGAGGGTCAGAATAGGTGGAGGCAGGGAGTCCCAGTAGATGAAGGTTTGGGCAGGAATCCAATCCATGCAAGTTGGAAAAGCACTGTTTGAACACATCTCTTTCTGTTGTAGCAGCAACCAATTGAACACAAAAGGCAAATTGAGGCCAATAAATAAACCAAGGTCCAAAACAAAAAGGGGGACACCACACTACAGAACCCCTCTTTTCAGAGTCACAGCCTGTGCACAGTGTTCTTTTTTTCAGCACTGTTCTGCAATAGATATTTGGTATTGAATAATGGTGTAACACTGTACAGAAGCATGAAAGAAAACTACAGAAAAGAAAAGGAAGTATCTTAATATCCCTTCTAACATATTCACACATCTCAACATCTTCCAGTACAAATATGTGGCTATGCCAAAAGTAAGTGCATCAGGAGCTTTTTTGTTTGTTTTCTGATGCAAAAACATCAAACAGCAGCAAGACTTAAAGCATTAAAAGTTGCCAAGGACTGATACTTAAGTTGTGACTTGACATTTCATAAACAAAGAAATGATAACAACATAGAAGTATGAGATTTAATTAATCACCTTACAACATTTTTGGTTGCTGAAAGCATTTTTATTTGACAGTGTCATTCTTCTGAGCTTAGAACAGAGGTAATGGAAAGTGTGCAGCAATTCATACACTTAAAAGCCTGCCTTGGAGGTGGAAGAGTTCTGTTGACACGTCCGTCTCAAAGACATTCCCCAGGAGCAGAAATTGCCCGTGATCCTAAAAGGACCTACTGGGAAAATCACTGTGATGATAATGTAATGATCTGGACCATGTTTAGTGTGGACAGTAGAAATGTTCTGTGCCCTCATCCCCCCAGTGCCTCTGACCAGGAGAGGGAGGAAGAAAGGAAAACTGCAAATACAAGTGGCAAGGCAACTTTATTCTCCATCATGACAGTGTGGCTATTGCTGTCTGGGTTTATTTACAAAGTGCAAGTTACCCTTAGGCTTATCATCTAAGGACTTTCCCCAAAGCAATTCTGTTGTTTATAGTATTCAATACTGTCTTTTAATCAAAAAGGCTTCCAAGGCAACTTGCAAGTTAAGAAATAAGACTGTCCTTGCCCAAACACTTGGAGTTGAAAAGATACAACAAAAGGGAGGAGGGGGTTGGGAAGAAGGAAGAAAGTAGTGAATTTGAGCACTAGATTCTTAGTAGCAAGTGCAGCAGGTTATGAGTACATGTAAGGTTTCTCCTTCCTGGATTCTGTATTTGCTTAGGAAACAGCTGAGTAGCAGCACAGAACAAACTGTCCTGCTTTTTCCTCATACTGGTGGCTTCCAAGAGCAGCAAACCATCCATAGGATTGGCAGGTGTGGATGTCACCCCCCTGCCCCCACCAGCAAAGAGCCCTGTCTATGGTGGGCCAGGATTAGAGAATAATGGAGAAGCAGACAGAATGCCCCTTTTTGCCTGGCTTAAGTTGGGTATGGATAGTCTTCCGCATGGTAGGGACAAGCCAAGGTCATGAAGTAGGGAAATCACACTGCAGAGGAGGAAAAGGAGCAGTCAGGTGTTTGTGTGCTGCAAAGTGGCTACTCAGTTTGCTTCTGAACTGAGAAGGGGACTTGCCGTGTGAGTTACTTGAGTGGTGTGTGTCTGTGCGTAGGGGAGTTGTTTCTCCTCCTCTCCTTCTAGTAAACAGCTTTCTCCCACCTGGTGTCATCCAGATGCGTTGGGCTAGAACTTCCAGAATTGGTAAGAATTTCCATAGCCAGCTTTGGACCAGGTTGGGGAACCCTAGCTTATAGGGAAGTGCCATGTGTTCGACACTTTCTCAGCGCATTTCCAGATTCTGTGTGAATATTGTAACTTCACTTATTGCCTTGATTGTTCCATCTGTAGGGAATCAGTATAGATTGAAATGGCTAGCCTAGATTAGCTGCACCTCCTGAAATCAAGGGGAAATGCCTGACTTTTGTGATGTATCCCACCTTTCTCTTAGTTTCTTTTGGAGCAGCCATACATTTTGTGTGCTATTTGGGGCATAATTCTATGCATATCTTGACAGTGAAGTCTTTTAAATCCCAGAATTTTACAGCCAGCTGTTTTTGTAGGGTTTCCCCCCGCTATCTAAGCATGTATAGGGCTGCCGCTATTGCTGCAGTTGTCTGCTTTTGCTTTGGTCATCAGCTCACAGTTTCTCTGGTTGTTCTGGCAAGAACAGCTCTAGCCTTCCTCTCCAGATCTCCAAAGCTTTTAAGAAGAAAACGACAGGATTCCTAGGGACTTAGTTAGAAATCCATTTGTCTAGAGTCTTGTGCTAGGCTCAAGGGCACTTCGCACTTCTGCCCTGATTACTGCAGGCTTAGGTCAAGGTGTTTTCATTTTGCCCATTTGCTAATAACATCTCAGAAATATATAAAAGATGAGTTGTCATCTGCATGTGACATTTTTGATCAAATAATAGGCAGTCAGCAGACAATAAGGGACCAGTCAATTGACAGCTATGCTAACCTTTCACAAACATGAGTATTGATAAAAGGAAACAGCAGGCAAGGTTATTTCAGAGTATTAGCTGACGTTTTTTGATTAGCTGTATTTTTGATTGACTATATTTCTGTACCTGTTGATCCTAAGCAGGACAGGATGTATATAAAATAGGACACTGTGTGTGTATGTACACATGTGCCATGCAGATGGTTTATGCTAAAACCAGAATAGTTCGGTGCAGAGCAATGGCACGCTCTTACTGCTCCTCATATGGAATCAGCGGCTGCTCATATTTGTAACTAGCTATAAGATGACAAAATGCAGGTGTCGTTTCCACTCCGGCACATGCTTGGGTGCACTTGCTGTTTACCCCCAGGCAAGTGTCTAATTAGAAACCTCTTTTCATTCCCAGTAGAATGCAATTGCATCAATATTTTCTCTACAAGCTTTTATAAGGTACAACTGCATGTCAAATGCAAAAACGAATATAAAGCCTAGAAGGGTGCTGTTTGCAGGGGAGGACCCCCACCCCATCTAAAGTTTTTTCTAGGGAATAGCTTGGAGTGAAGAAGCAAAAATGTTCTCCCTCCCTGATTACAGTCAAGTGTTTGAGATTTAAAAAAAACTAGATTTGCTTTAGGTTCTGCATATTGCCTCAGCACATTAACTGTTGCCCTGACCTTGGATTTCTTCGCATGACAAACTTGTGCTTCTGATTGTTTAAGCCTTCTAAAGCCTGATATGTGACTTGAATGTGAATGATTCCGGTTCTCTTTAGTTTCAATAAAACTAGGAGGCTGGGGAGTAGCTGTCCAAAGTTGGCCTGAAGTTGGAATCTGGTACAAAAGTTGGTAGTAGCATGGCTCCAAAAAGTTATCGTTGCTTAGAGATTTGGATACTTTCTGCAAAGGTCTGGATGCCTGTTGCAATGTTTTACAGAGGTTCTGCCTAAATGAAGGACATCAAAATGCATTGAAGCAGGACATGGTGTTACTGAGGGAAGGTGTTCTTTTTCAGTCTCCTTTGATCCTTTGTCACATCATAATTGCAGGACAAAATGTTTAGATGACTAAAAAGTAGGAATATAGGAGGCAAGGAGGCTGCTACTAGAAGGGCAGTGTATAGTTGTCATTTATTTCGTACTGTTATTTCCATTTGTCATTCCATTCTATTCCATTATATAGAGGAATAGAAACATGACAGTGAAATATTTGTATTATGTATGTATTTGGAAGAAAGCAACTGGAAAATTAGACTAGAGAATTGCTTGTTCTTACTGCTTGGCATGGCAGGTAAATATTTTCTGAAGTCAGGAGGCAGGCATAGCCTACTGGCTTTCTGGACTTTCTTCAATATATGAAGTGTTCTGCTTCCTGAATGTTAACTCCTTCAACTGTGTTAGAAACACTCTTTGCTTTCCTTAGGAAGAGAAGAATATTCGAGGCAAGCAGAGAGTTCTTTTTGAAACTTTATTGCGATAAAGGGAGTGGCGAGTTTCCTTCCCCTTGCCAGCTCGCCAAGCACATGTTCATATCCCATTTTTCTGCCCTGTCCCTGGCTGCTTCTTCCCGCCTCTTTTTCCCTTCATTGGCCAGGGTACTGAGAGGTTGCAAATCTTTTTCTGTCCTCCTATCCTGTGCCACCTGTTCTTTCCTCCTACTTCATCCCTCCCAGGTGAATTATAATGGGCTTATTTCCTATGCAGGGTGTGTTTTATAGTCATGAGGTCATTGAGCAAGTTTCCTGTTATCTTGTCTATGGGACAATTCACTCTTGCTATCTGATCTCGGCCGCCTCCTCCTTTTGGCTAAGGAATTATCTTTGTTACTTTTCTTACTCTTCCTGTTTCCTTGTTTCAAATAATCCTTTCATCCCTATCAATTGCAATCATAATTATCTTAATCTAGCAAAACTTGAAGATTACCTCCTGCCACGCTTGTTGCTGTATAAAATTCATGCCACTTATGTTAACCAATAGTGTAGAATTTCAGTAAGAAATGTTTTAATTCACTACTGTGTCCTAATCTGCTGACCTTATGCTGATATTTGTAGAGACGTATGTCTTTGCCTCCAAAAGAGAGAGAAGATGAATGTGTTGCCTCTTAATACACCTTCCACTTCTACTTTCATTCAACAATCTATGACTGGCGCATTCACAGGCTGTATAGAAGCTACACAACCCAGCAGTTAATGCATGGTGTATTGTTGGGTAACCAAACAACTCAGCACTCCTGATTTTTACATCATGCTGAACAGCCTAAAAATGGGCATCCATACATTGTTGGTTAAAAGCAAAAGTGGCTGGTACTCATCCCCATTAGCCCATGGAATGTTTAACCTATGAACTGTTCTTACATGTGAATTAGCCCATAGTGTATGTGATAATTTCCCCTGCCACTACTTGGGGCCATGTTAGAGTTTCTCACTTCGTAATGGTCAACTGCTACTTGATAACTACTATTATTTAATGGAAGTTTGCAGACATTTTATTACCACATTTTGGGATATTGTAGAGTTGGCAAAGATGCAGAGAACAGCAGGCAAAAAGATCTAGAATGATCCACTGTGAGGAAACATTGCAGTTCTTGGAATCGTTAAGTGTAGAAAAAGCAGGTGCTGACAATGGGAAATGATAGAGTTGTATAAAACGATGCACAGTGTGAAGAAAGCAGATATGGAGCATCCCTCTCACCCAGTCATAATACCAAGCCTACTGGGTAACTTTGGCCTGATTACTTACTGGCCTAACCTACATCACAGGGTTCTTGTTTTGAGGATGAAACTGAGTTATGCAAAGCTGCCTTAGGCTCCTCACAAGAGGAAAAAAGGTGGGACATAAATGCAAATTAATAATTGTGCTAGAATGCATGGGCACCTCATGAAGCTGATTGGTAAAAAGTTCAGGACAGATATAAGGAAGGACTTCTTCATCCTGTACATAGTAATACTATAGAATTACCCTCTACAAGGTGGTTCCTTTCCACAAGATACGGTAATGTCCAGGGTGGGACCAATCTCTAAGGCGTTCTCAGTTTCTCATTTTCCTACTTTTAAGGCAGTCATATCCTGTTTCTGCATTGGAGAAATGCATTACGAAATGTGGAGAAGTGTGAATACTGAGTGAAAGCTGCATTTTAGGTCATGTGTGAGAGATGCAAATGATGTAGGTTCACATTACCTCCGGCATCAAAGGCATTTATGTCTCAGTACTTGAGATGGAGGATACTGTTTTGCTCCTGTTTCTTGTATTCCCAGAGGCAGCAGGTTATTTCATGCTGTGAGATTAGAATACACTTTCAAACCTTACTTAATTGATTAAAAAGGCTCAAGTCTGCAGGTTATTGTCAGTGAGTAAGAGCATAAGAAAAGCCATGCTGGACCTGCTCAGTAGTGGTTCAGTCTCTTCACATGGGGGCAAACAAGCTCCCCAGAGGATCCCTAAATAGGATGGATACAAGACTTCCACCTGCTGGAGCTCCTCAGCAACCCATGTATGCAGGCATGCTGCGTCTGAACGCGGTATTTTGCAGGTGTCAGATTTGAATTGGGAGGCCCAAGTATAAACATTCAAGCAAGATGCTTGCTGCATATGCTAGCACTGCCTTCCTTGGACAAGAGTGGGATGAAAATGGCATGGAATAGGTTTCCTTTGAAGGTGCTGGGATTTTTTCCTTTTGCCTGAGTATAGGATAGGATGATATCCTTTGGATTTACAAAAAAACAAATGGAATATGGGACTTGGACACAATATTTTCTACTTGAATTATTTTGAAAGATTTGTCAGCAGCTAGAATTGATTTAGGCAGGAAATGCAAAAGTGTTGTGATAAATGGTGAGCGACTGAAGGCTTTGAAAAGAAAATTTTATTTCTGTTTTCTTCATATTTTGTCTTGCACTTATGACTTCTGCATGAAGCTATTTCATTTTCAATACCTAACTCCGGATGTTCGGAATAGTTTAACTCCCACTGTTTCTTTAAATACCAATGTTTCAAAAGCTTGAAACATCCATTCAAAATGATTTGGGAACTTAATTTGATGATTTATCTATGGACTTCCTTGGGGCTCTTGTCACAGATATAAGTCTAAGAAGCAAATATGGTGTACTATGGTAGCCTAGGCTATGATTTGGGAAATCCCTTGCTTAAAATTAATATCTGTCATGCTCTCTGTAGACAAACAACAACCATCTGTTAACTGCAGTCCTTTATCTGTAATATTGGAATAATCCTTTCTTCCCAGGTTGCTGTAAGGCTAATAGCAAGTGATGTACGTAGCGTACTTTGCAGTTACACAAATGCAATTTATTAAACTTAGACGCTAAAACCTAATTATACTGGAGCTTGCTGGTAGTTACAGAACTTTTCTGTGTTTAAGCATGCATAGGATTGTGCCCAAATGCCTTAAAATAGTGGCTGAGACCAACAATAAGTAGCTTATAACAACAGATTGTAACAGGCAGTACTGAGTGTTTTGAAATTCGAAGGTAATTACCTCCCAAACTGCATGTTGCTGCATTATACATGCATTTGAGGCTAAGAAGTTACTGCTGGTTTGTCATTTTTTTATTCCATTCTTGGTAGCCATGTGTTCTTAATTGATGGGTTTTGATTCCATATTTAGTCTATATGTGATCAGTTTTGGCAATGCACTTCACCTGTTTATCTTGTTTTCAGGGAATGCAGAGAGCTACTAATGTCACCTATCAAGCCCACCATGTCAGTAGAAATAAGAGGGGTCAAGTGGTGGGGACCAGAAGTGGTTTTCGAGGTTGCACAGTCTGGCTAACAGGTAAATATTGTCACCTACAAGTTTTCTCCATTTAGTTTTGTTTTCTCTTTGTGTTATTTAAAATGATGACGGAGGCAGGAAGTAGCAGCTAAAGTTGTGTCCAGTTCTTTTTTCCAGGAGCGCAAAACTTCTCTCAAATTAGCTGCCCTCCCACAGGTGCCCCTTTTCAGTCATTTTTGCTTATATGTTCATGTAATGCTGTGCAATCTTTGAAAAGGCTGATATGCTAGGGAAATAGTATGAACTTACTGCAAAGAGATCACAGGAAAAGTTTAGGAAGAATTATAAACATTATGATTTGGAACCTTATTCATGCCAACACTTCCCAGAGGTCCTGAAACCCTGCAGTCAATGTGGCTAATGTTCTTAATGTTAAGAGAGAGAGTTATGCTGATAAACTTTAAACAGTAATGAACAGAGTATCCACTTCATCTGATTGAAAATGGAAGTGCAAACAGTTACTTTTTAGATGACTGTAAAAAGATAAATCTTAATTTCTAAGAAACACACACACACAAACAAACAACATCTTTTAAAAGAAAGCTACACTTAAGGTAAAGCTGTAGAAACATGAGGTCAAGGCTTCAATATTAAAAACACTTACTTGGATGTTTTTGTGTAGTTTACCTTTGTAAATATGCTGTATTTCTACTTTTCTAAGGGAGCAGTTTATGCCCCCCCCCCGGTCTCTGAGGGTCCATAGGGTACTTGAGATTCCTAGGTCCCAGCTTGGATCCACTATTACTTATGCATAGTATGTGTGGAGGGGAAAGAGGGAAGGAGACTAGAAGGGCCATGGTATGAGCTGCTGCTTCAGCCTCCTGCCTTCTCCCTCTGAGATGTCTAGGTCTATCTAGCGAACATGCAGTGCAGAGAAGAAGATTGCCTCTGCTCTTACTCCCTCATTGTTGGATGGCAATGGCCATTGTCACAGGAATGTGACAATGTAAGCTGTGTAAGCTAAGCAAACCTTTATGTTTATTGGTTTACACACAAGGTATCTAGGCTTGAAAATATAGTGCTCCTGTTTATTTTGTGACACTTAAGGAGGCTGTTGCCCTAATACAGATTCTCTTTCTTTGTGTAGGGCTGTCTGGAGCTGGGAAGACCACAGTGAGCATGGCCCTGGAAGAGTATCTAGTGTGCCATGGCATTCCATGCTATACGTTAGATGGTGACAATATCAGGCAAGGCCTCAATAAGAATCTAGGCTTCTCACCAGAAGACAGGGAAGAAAATGTGCGCCGGATTGCTGAGGTTGCCAAGCTGTTTGCAGATGCTGGCCTGGTGTGCATCACTAGCTTTATTTCTCCCTATGCCCAGGTGAGCACTGTGTATCTGCATTATATAGTACTCAGGTTGTATTGTCTCATCGACAGCTTCAGGTACTTGGCCAGATAATTCATCCCTTTGCTTATAATGAACCATTGTATAGCCTTTTCAGTCCAGGCCAGTAGGGGCCGAATGCAGTGGGTGCGTTCTTACAGGGGCAGAAATACAGAGGATCCTGCTTGTCATCATAAATGATTGCTGCTAATCAAAGTATCTTTTAGAAGGAAAAGGTTCCTGTACTGGCTAAGAAAATTCTTCGTTGTAGCAGAAAGGCGTAGCTCCAGTGGAGGAACTCCATGAACAAAGAGCTCCATGAATGAAGATCTTAGGGTACAGGCAGTTTGGTAGGGATGTAGGAACGTTGCACTTCCTTCTCTATTCTTCTTCTTTTTTATCTCTGCAGCTGTGGTCATAAACTTCTCTGCCTGCAGCAATCCTCAGCCCTTTCCACTCTATCTCCAGCAGCACTGTCCAGAGTTCATGTAGGCTAAAGCTGAGAAGGAGGGAAGCCCTGTCCTGTTCACTTCTGCTTTCGGCACTGAGGATGTTTTATTCATATTCACATCCACCCTTTCCACTATAAACAGTGCTCAAGTTGCATAACCACAGTAAAATACAGAATGATATAGAAAGGTATAATTAAAGCATATACGCCAGTCAGTTTGAGAAAAAAAAACATAAATAGAAAAAGAAAAGGAACCCACCACTTAAAACTTGAAGAAAAAAGTCAGCTTAAATGCTAGAAGTCACTCTGAATAAAATGTCTTTACACAACCAAAACTCTGCTTCAGATGCTGTCAGCAATTCTACAAGGAAGTATGCTTTCTAGAATGGTCAGCTAGTTTGCAGTCCTGTTTGAGGCTCTGGCGGCTGTCTTACAATTCTTACCTTGGTGCACTAGTTGGGGAAACTGAATTCTTGCTCAATTGTGGGATAGTGCAAAAACTCTTTTATAGAATGCCCTTGGTTCATATCTATAATAACATTCCCCAATCTGTTACCTTCCAGATGGGATGAACTACTGCTTCCATCAACCCTAGCTAAAATGGGGTTTGAGAACAGTGAGGGAAATAATCTAGTAGTCATGCAGTGTGTTGGCGATTCTCCCATCTTCCGAAGCACAGTGTGGCAATTCTGCACCCCATGCCAGTCTTGAAGCATGAGAGAAGAACTGTCGCCTGTTGTATCACACTTTGGAGGCACTGAGCCACAGTCCGTATTAGTGGATTTATTGCTACTGAACCAAGGTTACAAGGGAACCTGCTTGTGTTAAACCATAGCTTGCATAGGTTCATATGCAACTCAGTCATAGTTAGATATGATACATATTAGAAGATTCTTTTTCTGTTGATACTTTTCCCTCTGCTGTTTCTCAGGACCGCAACAATGCTAGACAAATTCATGAAGTTGCAAGTCTGCCTTTCTTTGAAGTGTTTGTGGATGCTCCACTGTATGTTTGTGAGCAGAGAGATGTGAAAGGCCTCTACAAAAAAGCTCGTGCTGGAGAAATTAAGGGTGAGTTTCCATGTCAAAACTATTCTGCGCTAAGGACTTTACCATATCCTATCTACCAATCTACACTTGAAATTCTCCACTTAATATTCCTTTCAATTTTTCAAATAAAAACCTTGGAAGATGTGAAAGTCTTTTTTCTTGTTCTGTCTTGGCCTCACTAATTCTATCCCACTCTCCAGCTCTTTAGCTCACGGTTTCTTCCCCTCTTAGCCTCTAGCCTGGCTCTTCTGCTACCCATTTGTTTTCCCGTTTCTACCTCCCACCAAACCTCTAGCTTTGCTACTTCTCTCTCCACCTCTTCTCTTAGTCATGCTATTTCCTTCCTCCTTCACATCACAATTTCTTATCTCTTATTATCTCCCTAGCTTATCTGATGGCAGCCCTTGTGTGACAGTCCACATTCTGTGCAGAGGCCTTGTTGTGTTACTGCTTACAGCAGTTTCTTAAATGCCCAGATGTTTCCATGGGTCCAAAAAGGTTGGGAGCCTCTGCTATAAAAGCATATTTTGTTCTAAGCATGCAAATACTCCCTGTAGTGATATACCATTGTATCTAAAGGGGAGCATCTTTGTATTCTTTGCTGTACTGGCAATTGCAGTAGTCATAACGGAATGCCATGCATGCTGTCTGCAATCTGTAATGTCAGGATCCAAAGGACTCTGTTTAGAAATGCAAGGTGATTATTAACTGGTATGATAGTTCTAGTGCCTTGAGGACATTCAATTTCGCAACAAGAAACTTGTCAGTTAATTAGCTGGTGCTGGGATCAGTTCCTAATCTGATGGATCTGGATTTTATCTGTATTATGTTTTATTTATGTAAGCCGTCCCGAGGCTGTGCAATGGGATGGCATACAAATGCTCTGAACAAACAAACAAGCAAACAAATAATCTCCTTTATTGTAAAGTAAGGGTAACTTTTGAGTGAGACACAGGGTACTGCTGTGGATAGGGGAGCTTGATATCTATAGGAACATTGTCTCTGATATTCTAGTGACCATCAGCATTAATACTGCAAACAGAGTATGCTTAAGTGATAAGAACTGGTTCCCTTTTAATTCTGTACCATTTTCTCTTATTGTCATGAAATAGACTCAGATGCTACTTCCAAACAGACTTAAGAATTTTAGTTGGAGACCATCAGGAAATTAAGCCATGTTTACAGGTGATGCTTGAATGTTGTCAGGCATTGTTGTTCTTTGAATGCTTTGACTTTTATTCCAGCCCCAAACATCTTGGGAATTTCCATTCCTTAAACTAGAGATGGCCAATTTGTTGGCAAAAAACATGTGGTGGCCTGCAATGCCCACTATATCTCACTCATTGGCTATGCTGGCTTGGATTGATGAGGTCTGTAGGCTGTAACATCTGGAAGGCCACAATTGTCCAGTCCTGCTTCAATCAGTGGTGGATATAAAGATCCTGTCCTTGTAGGACTAATAGCCAGAGTTAACTTTGTCTATGTACATCAAGGGTTTATGCTTCTATTAGTCACCGTAGAGGATACAGTCATATTTGTGCCATTGCAGAACACTAATATTGACACTACTTCTACAGGCAAGAATTGGCAAAGGTTGTATTATGGTACCATCTTTCTTCATGTCTTTTTGGGATTTCCTGCTATCTAATAACGTGACTCTTCTAGAAATTTTTGAACTGGTTTACATCGTTTAAATTCAAGGGAAATCCTAAGAAACTGAAAACTTTTGACATACAGTGCTTTGGGTGGCTAAATTTTATTAGTATGTGATATGTTCATAGCCACTCATTTACAACTTTGAAACTGCCAAGCTTGCCTAATGAGTGTGTAGTTGGCATCCATTTCTTATTACTAATTATATTATGAAATACAGATTTTTTTGCAGAAAAATAAAACACTGGAAAGTTAAAAAAAATGCTTGCTTCACATCACTGACCACTTGCCTACAGTCTGAAAGATGATATCTGATTGTCGTTCTTCAGGCTGATATCCAGAGGGAGACTATATAGCTAATTTTGCTCATTAGAAGAATAGATCATAGTTTGACAGCTTAGTATGTGAGTATTGTGCATAGCGAGTTGCCCTGTGATTTTTATTTTTGTTCTAAACAACATACCTGTGGTGCATAAACAAATGTACTATTGTTGCCAGAAAGTCCAAGGATTTTACATTTCAGCTGGCTGGGTGCCATGTTACAATAGATGGGTTTGGAATTTAGCTACCAGCTTGTTTCTTCCTTGCACCTTGTTAAGCTTATGTCTATTGTTAATTCCTCATAATTAGCTTTTGTGTGGAACAGGCCAGGGCAATATGACAGCTGTATGAGGCCTAGCATAGCTCTTTTTTTTCCCCAGGGATGGAGATCTTTCCATGCTACTGCCAGATTTGCAGATTTGTGGCCAAAAATGGTGGCAATTTGTAAGGAAACAAGCCATGTGGGGATTGTGTGCTTTGTTTGTAAGTGAGGGTTGTGCTGCAGGAGTAATTGTAGCAACAGAAGTGAGATACGGGCCCAGTGGTTTGGTAGGTATGTGGCTCTGTGACTGCTGATGTTGCCCACGCCTGGTTTAAACACGCATAGCATTACGTCCTTAATATCACTCTGTGTAACATCACACTTTTGCTAACCTTGCACAGGAACAGAGGAAATTATTTCAGAACTCCTAGGCATCATGCTTTTAAGTTACCATGCTCCTGATCCAAATATTTACGGAACAGGAGGAGTATGTTGTTCTGTAAATAATAAGACCAAGATGCCTTTCAGTTACAGTTGCATCATTATTCCTGGAAGGGGTAGGAAAAGCCTGGGTAGACTTGCCAAGCACACATTACAATTTTCACTCTACACATTTCTTTAATTATGTAGCACATCATTCACTTTCTTTTTCTTTACAGTGAATATGCAGGGCCCTTTGCTCAGAAGTTTAAGAATTGAAAATTGATTCCTTTTGAGACTTCTTCCCTTTATTTAGTTGAATGCATGTGGGAAATGACTGGCGAGAGAACGATGAAATGCCTTTTAGCTATGTGGTAGTACCAGCACAGATCGGGCACAGCTTACTTAAGCACACAGGGGTTGGGCAACTTTGAGAAGTTCAGATTCAGTTTAACTCTTGAACTCAGTAGGTTGCAGTCTGCCGTGACTTGGAAAGAAAAGCTTCTGTGAAGAAAATGACATGTGGGTACAACAGAATTTGACTTTTCTAAATTCTACAGAGCTGTAGAAAGGGTAAAATTTAACTTGCAAACAACCTAGATTTGACTTTTGGGGTACCTTCCATGTGCCTTAAAAAGTCAAGTTGGTGGCAGTAAAGGAAACAATTTCCCCCACTTATGGCTTTAGAGTAAATAAAAACTGGATGGGGAGCTTCATATGACTTAATTAACAGCATGTAGTTTAACCCCAGAGAGCTACAATACGATTGAAAATTCTGTCAGCCTCCGGGGGGGAAAAGAAGACTCATCTGAAACACAGTAATTTATTAATCTCTGTCTTCTGTGCAGGTTTTACTGGCATTGACTCAGAGTATGAGAAGCCCGAAGCCCCTGAGTTGGTACTCAAAACAGATTCCTGTGATGTCAATGACTGCATTCAACAAGTTGTGGAACTTCTGCAAGAGAGGGTAGGGAGTCTTATAAAGTTGTCAGCTTCATAATACAAGCTTATTGTAAAGATAGTATGTCATGTTGTATTGATTTTTTTTTTTTTGCATTAGATCTATTGCTTTAAAGCTTTTGATAGACTGAAATAAAAAAAAAAAGCCCATGACTACTTAGATGGTAGCTTTAAAAAGTAGCTGGATGATCTTTAATACAAGAAAATCCAACAATTACAGGAAATGGATACAGTCTTTAGACATAACACAGCAAATCACGGTTAAATGACAGCCCACTCAACCCAATTTTAACTTTAAGTGCAGATTGTCATATTGTGTAAACTCAGTAAGTTTTTGCTTTCTTAGACATGCAAATGCTGCTTCTGAGATGGTGCTTGCTATGATACAAATGGAGCTCAGGGTGCTCTGAGCTATGTAAAAGATGACAGTAGTTCAGCTATTTCAGATGTTTCAGTCTTTATTGAAAATGGGCAACAAATGAGATACACCTATCTAGTGTTGCACAAAAGCCATTAGACTACCCCAGTAGAAAGTTTATTTTTAACTTATTAAGGTATAACAGCACTTCATGAATATTATAAAATATGAACCACAAGTCTACTGATTTTATTCACATCGCACTGACTTTTCATTCATGAAATTGGATGTACTGAGATTGCAAGCTGAATCCATGGATGGAAGTATCTGTAGTACTTGACAACTGAGAACTTTACAGTAGGAAAGGGTTCTGTTCCAAAGCAATTATTCCAAAGGACATATTGTAGGAATATCGGGTTGGATCCAAACTTCATGCAATAGGACATCCACTTGCCAAACAGGATATCTGTGCTCTTTCTTCCCCACTGCACTCCCACTGCACTCCCTCCACCCCCACCTCCCAGCAGATTTATAAGGGGCTGCAGATTGAGGGAAAAGTCCATCCCACCAGTGGGAGGAAACCACTGGTGAGCAACATGGTCAGGGGCTTCACCAGCATAGTAATGACACACAACTCTTTATTACTGAGTCATCTGAATCAGATGAGGCTGTGGAAGGGTCAACCAATCTCATGGGATATATTAGGTGAAGGCACATTATTACTAGAGATTTAGGTAGTCTCCTCCCTGGCTTATTTTTCCGACAGTTGGCAAATGCATCCCCTTAGGAAGAGATTACAATATTCACAAGGACATTCAGATCAAAGGAAAAATATTGAGTGGCAAATAAAGTTGGTTTAGGTTTAGCATCTGGCTAATAATAGGCAGCTTCTGAATCAGTCCAGCATGAAAAAAGTGGGATGTAAATGTAGTATGGTAATAATTATAATAATTTGTCAAAAGAACCAGATTATTATTGCTGTAAACCAACACAGCTGAAATCTAGGGGTTTAAGCATCCCTAACTGTGTTAGTTCTGGCTTTTACCTATGCGTACAACGGGACACACTGCCCATGGAGAATGTGCATGGCTGTTAGAGGCTCGGTATCCTTGATTTGGAGATAAATCCTTCGCTAATTTGATTTAACTAAATCTAGGGTTTTCTTCATCTAATACAATTGATGTTACCTGGCTTGTGTGTACAAATATAACAAATATTCAATTTACTCCTGTAGATGACTATTTTTTGTGTTATCTTCCTATGAAAGTCAATGGATATTCTTGATAAAGGCTCAGCTGGACTGTTGTTGGGGTCTGCATAGCTTTTAAAATGTGCATACTGTTGACCTGCTCCCATGGAAGTTCTGTGTCCAGTTTTAATAGATGCAATAAATATCTTTAAGCTCTCAATGTGGAATCAAATATTGTTTTGACAGCTCAGTTAAAGGAGAAAAAAGACGTTACACAAAGCATTGTTTCTGTGTGAAATAAACAGAAGTCTTTTTGTTCTCCTTTGGTGTCTGATTTTGAATTTTCAAACTGACACTAATGATAAATACTTTTGCATGTTTGACAAGTATGCTGAAATCAGGAGGGATGGAAATGTTGAATATATCCGTTTTTAAGTAACTTTAATAATCCCACATGAAAGCACAACCTCAAGTAGTCACTAGAGGGCCATCTAACATAGCCTTTTCATCAAGTAGCCTCTGGAAGAGGTGAGGTTCTTGCCTCTGTTTTTAATCTAAACTGATGTTTTGAAAGTTCTGTCTATACATACCAGTAACACTGGATTTACTAATCCTATAAATTACTTTAAAAAACATTTTATCATGTTCATGAAATCTTTAATGTTCTGAAATTCTATGCTGTGTACAAGTTAAAACTTCCAAACCCAGGTTTAAAATTTTGTTGGGTTGAAGGCAAAATTCAAGTATGTACACTGTTTTTGCATATGTCTGCTTCAATTGAGATAGCAGACTTTAGTTGCACAATGTGACTGATTCTCAAGCTTTGGAGAACAAATTTGGCTTAAGACAAAACGGGACTGAAATTGAGAGAAATGCTTTGTATTGCATAACAATAGAATGTTTTAATGAATTGCATACCATGACCTGTACCTCTACCTTTCCTTGTACATTTGAAGCACACATAGAAGGTGTTTTAGATACTTCATAGCTTTTAAAAGTTTGAGCAATTCCTGGTAGTTTGCTTAGAAAAACTAATTTAGCCACAGTCATTATCTTTTCTTTATAACAAACACAGCATATTTGGATGTTTTGACTATATTAGTCCTGTCAATATGTCTTTTTTATATATAAAATATAAACAACAAGGTAGAATTTGTTCTATCTTAATGCTAATAGGATTAAACTATTGCCATGTGTAAATGATTCTTAAATGCATTCTTATCCCCATGTAAAATTGCCTGAATGCAAATAAAGCCTTTAAAGATAAAAACACAGTAAAATATTTCATGTTCTGCAGCAGGAATTCATGGCTATGTATTCCTGCAGAGTAATACTTTCAAGATGGGAGATGTTTATAACAGAGGAAGCTTATTTCTAGGTTCCTTTGGGTAGAGGTTGGAGAAAGTACTATTAACTTTAAAATGAATATGAAGTCTTAGAATAAAACAGTTGTGCTTAGCTGTTAATGAAAATTTTCATTTGTCTGAAAATTTGATGAATACTAATTCTCTCTGACTTCTTTTGTATACATTGTGGAAGCAAGCTTCATTGCATCTTATGTGTCAGAAGTCTTGTATCTGAATTGTTAATACACAAATTTTGGCTATTATCCATTTGCCTGTTTTAGAATTCTTGTTATGATTCAGGTCTGTCATTGGCTGGGACTTGTGTGGTGTCCATTTTAGTTGTTCGTCAGGAATTTAGCTAAGTTTATCACTTTGGCAGAGAATGGAATAAATAGCACCCATTTCTGTAAAGCTAGTGCAATCCTGAAATTCTGTGGTTACAATTCTGTGCATGCTTTCCTGGGAGTAAGCCCCAATAAATTCAGTGGGACTTGTGCTAAGCAGACATGCATAGTATTACAAAGCCCTGAGTCTCCAGGTGCTTTTGGGCTGCAAATTTCATCATACTTGGCCATGAATCATGCTGCCTAGAAATGATGGGAGTTCTAGTTCAATGAGAGCTGGGGACCAGAGGCTGAAAAATGCTGCCATGGGATCTTATTATAACATTGTAGTGACATGAAACCCTAAGGTACCATCCTAAACTGAATTACTGTTCTTTTTTAGGCTAGCCATGCCTAAAATTGTGATTCTCAAAACCTTAAAGTTCCCTGAGTCATCCCTACAATTCCTGTTGCCTCTACCCACCGGCAACCCACCAGCCCTGCCTGCCTTTCATTCTGGAAAACCAACTATCTTGCTTACAGCTGACTTAGGGTGTTGGTCTCCCCTGTAGAAAAGGCTAAAGGAAGGGAAACCTGTTTGCAGTAGCCTTCCTCTCTATCTTACAGCTGGGGACAGGGGAGGGATCACTGTACACTTTGTGCAGCACTCCTTATCCACCTCTACAGTTTCTTAGTTGGGTATGAGGCTTGTTGCTCACCACAGGCACAGTATGTATGTCAAAGCACAGTTACTTGGGGATTTAATCTTTGTTATATTTATATCTCTCCTTTCTCCTGTTGAGGAACCCATGGTGTCTACAGGAAGTTCCCAGGTGGTCTCCTTTCCAAGCTCAGGCCAGCCCCAGAACTGTTTAGCTTCAACATGGTGGATGCCTTATCTTCCTTCAGACCATGAATGGAGCCCTATGAAATCAGTTATCCTTCTAAAGATTAAGCTGTTAGAATGGTTTTGACCACATATGGAAAAAGTGCCATTTTTGAGCCCTTTGGTTGTTGAAACTGGTTTGGGTTTTGTTTCCAAAGTTTCCCTAGGCAATTAGGCTCATGCTTAAAAGTTCTTTAAGAATGAAGGGAATATGTCACTGCTATTGAAGTGGATGCCTTTAACATGGATGCCTTTGTCTGTCAGTAGCTACAGTGTGTGTATGTGTTCCTGTGTATGTTTTCTTTCAGAACACCAAATTAAAACTGCAAAATGTTATGAGATGCCCTCTCTGTATGCCAGGTGGCAGTACATGTTTTGTTTTGTTTCTGAATATTTGGGTGGATGCTCTTCAACTGCTTTCTATAGACCATTCATCATTTTCATATGACAGCGGTTGCCTTTATTTTTTCCTCAAATTAATTTCCCAGTGTTGTACCCAAAGTATTCTATTAAACTGTTTACCCAAATGATACTAATTTGGTTTGGATGGAAAATTCCCAGTGTATATAGTTCCTGTATCCCTTCACCAATTTCTAGCATATTGCCAAAGCATATTGCAACTTGTATGGGATGGAAGCACATAGGAGCAGACTGAAGTTTGTGTTACGTTTTGTGAATGGCTGTCTTTTAAGGAACAACAGTTTCAGAATCAAAGCACAATCAACAATTTTCTTAAGGACAAAAAGTTATTCTTGAGGAGTGGGGAAAGGAAAGAGGGCTGCTTAGGGACCAAACCTCTAAACTGTTTTTCGTTATGAATATTCTTTAGACACGTCACTGGCTAAAAATTAACTTTGTGGTGACTCCATCACGTTCTTTTCCCACTTGAATGTTGTTCTGGTTGTCTGCGTACTTTTCTGTATAATTTGGCAAATGCTGTGTTACACTGTTTCTCTCCAAAATGTGTTCTTGAAAAGGCTGTGTGGTGCAACCGCCTTATGCCATGCTGCTGGGTCTGTCTTGGCTATGAGGCCAGGCCGCTACATTGTGGATGGCAAATTGATCTTGATAGAAAGTTTAGAAGGCAAGGGAGAAAAATCACAAATGGGTTTTATTTACTTTGTTGTTACTTTGGGGTCTCTCGTGAAAATGGGGTTGGAAGAGAGTGATGCATAAAAGTCTGTTCTCTCCATGTATTGAAGGCATTACATGTTCCTTTGGGAATATACACATCTTTCCCGTCTTCCCTCCCATTTTAGACGCAACAGTAAAGGAGGTGTGGCTCACTTATTCATAGCATGTTTAAAGAGGGTGTGTATGAAATGAAAATGGATGTATAGCTATTGTTTTGTCTTTACAGCAGGCTAGTTAAGCCTGCAATCTCTGGATTGTCTTACTGGCTGTCAGGTGCTCCATAATAGCTGTTTCCTGTAGATCATGTCTTTTTCCTAAAATGATACCTTTTGCAAAGAAAGTGTAAATCCTACCTACCTTGGTTTGCCTCCTTTACCCATGATTAAATGGAACACCTGGATACGTAAATTTTAACTAAGATTTGAAAACAGAAGTAACTTCTCAAGTCAGTGGTGTGCATTGACAAATGCTGAACAGGACTTTAGTCTTGGGCCTATGTTGTCTATGGATGACTGTGTTCTAGGATCTCTCTCTTACCTTTCCCTTCTGCTATAGGGCAGAGATCACTCTCCTCCCCAGCATCAGCTCCTGGTTGGCTTATTTCTTCATAATAACACAGGAATGATACTGACAGTGTTTTTTAATGCATGCTTAACTTAATGTGTAGCTTGACCCCTAGTCTTTGTTGTGGCTGCAGCTGATTTCAGTGTTGCTGGAAAAGTTAAGTAATACCTCATATGAGTTGGACTTCCGAAGTTGTCTGAGGCCAGTTTTGGTGGTAGTTTTGCTTAGACGTGGAAGCATATGGTGGTGGAGCTGCTTCATAGCTATCAGGGGCTTACATAATGTTTGACCCTTTGCAGTGGTTCCACTGGTTAACACAACAAAGTCTTGGGATACCTTAAAAGACCAACACATGGATTATGGCATAAGCTTTAATGGAGTACAGCTCATCGATGGCTTAGGCTAGCCTTTCTCAGGAAAATACTGTCTTCAAATGTATGAAACAGTCCTGACAGAGTTGTCTAAAGGCTTCTTAAATAATTCCCTGGAAGAAGAGCATTGTTAATATACTGGGCTGAAACAACAGTGTTCAATGCTCTTCAACATTCAAATTAATGATCTGGATGAGAAAGTTCAGGGACTGATTATCCAATTTGCAAATGATAGAAAACAGGGTGGGATAGTACCACCTTCTTAAATAATACAGAAAGAAGATTCAAGATGATCTTCATAGGTTGGAGTGCCGGGCTGAAAACAACAGAATGGAATTCAGTAGTGACAAATGTCACATTCTGCACCCAGGAAAAAGAAAGCACAGGTACAGTTCCAAGATGGGGAATACTTGGCTCAATAATACTGCAAGTGGGAAGGATCTTGGAATTGTAGCTCACAAACTGAATATGAGTCAACAATGTGATGTGGCTGCAAAAAGGGCAAATGCTATTTTAGGTTGCATTAATAGAGGTATCATTTCCAAATCATGTGAAGTACTAGTTCCCCTTTACTCAGTACTAGTTAGGCCTCATCTGGAGTACTGTGGCCAGTTTTGGGCTCCAATGTTTTAAAAAGATGCAGAAAAGCTGGAAAGGGTTCAGAGGAGGGCAACAGGGATGATTCAGGGACTGGAAGCCCTATGAGGAGAAATTGAAAGAGCTGGGCATGTTTTCTTTGAGAAAAGAAGACTGAGGGGAGATAATATAACACTCTACAAGTACTTGAAAGGTTGTCACAAAGAAGAAAGACAGGATCTCTGAGCAATCACCACAGAGTATGGAACCTGGAATAACAGCTCAAGTTACAGGAAGCCAGGACCTGCCTGAACATCAGAAAAAACTTTCTGATGGATAGAGCAGTATGACAGTGGAACCAATGATCTAGGGAGGTTGTGGGCTCTCCCACACTAGAGGCATTCATCCAAGGTTTTATTTATTTATTTATTTAATAGCTTTTGTATACTGTCCACTACCAAATGGTCCCGGGACGATCCTACAATAAGGATGTCATTGGGCAGCCACCTGAGAAGAGTCCTGTATGGAGTGGGAGGTTGGACCTGGTGGCTCCTTCCTACTCTACTATTCTATGATTCTATGATCATGAGGATGACATTGTTATACTGCATTTATATTTCACCATTTTCCCTCATGAGGAACATAGAGGTTTACATTGTTCCTTCTCCACTCCATTTTTTCTTCAAAATAATAGCCCTGTGAGGCAGGTTAGGCTGAGAGTGAGTGACTGGCCCAAAGAATGCAAAGTTTCATAGCTGAGAGAGGACTGGAACCCAGCTTTTCTAGGTTCCCATTCCAACATTCTAACCACCACAGATTTGGTGCTGCACTTCCCATTTGTTGGGTTTCTTAAAGACTAAAATTAGTGTTTCGGTGTTTTGAGACTAGTTCTGTCTCTTTAGCTCATTGTGGATCCTTTCCAGTTCCCTCATACTTTGCACATTCCTGCCTCCCCTAGCCTCTGTTGGGCTGCTATTCTCATAATTTTCAGTGCACACATTTGGAGAGCACAGGACTGGAGAAGGCTAGCTTATGCCATAGTTAATTTGTTGGTCTTTAAGGTGTCAAACTCTTGTTTTTGATATAGCAGACGAACATATTTGCTCCCCTACCTACTTATATCTCTGCACCTGCCCCCAGTCTTTTTTTCCAGGCTTGGTGTACTATGATTACACAATGACTCAATATGCATCTCATCTGCTCTTTTGTGTTTATATAACGTGCACCCTCTCTAGAATAGGGCTTTCCTTTTTTCTGCTATTTTGTATACTCTCATGGAGAATGCAGAACACTATGGAATATGTGCCATTACTTGATTAAAGAGATCATTTCACAGAGTAACTCATTTCTCGAGAATTTTCCAAGCTACTGCTGGCTTTTCCAGTAATATTAGAACTAAGTAAATAGTAGTGTTTCTGCAGATCACTGAAGTGAATAAGTACTAGCACAATTGCAAATTAAATCCGACTCTGGTTGGCAGAATTCATTTTTAATTTTAAAATGCATTATTCTACTGAACCACCATTTAAATATATTAGTGCTGTTTTGTCTGTTAACAACAATTCTTCTTTTCCTAGGATATTGTACCAGTGGATGCCTCTTATGAGGTTAAAGAGCTGTATGTACCTGAAAACAAACTTAAATTGGCTAAAACAGATGCAGAGACTTTACCAGCCCTGGAAATAAATAAGGTAATACATACTTACAAATGACTAAATAAAAGTAAAAAAGTATTATTCTTGCTTACCCATTTCATGTGTTAGCCATTAGTATAATATCCCAAGTAACTTCCAGATTATACAAGTTTTCTTCCAGTTTGCCTTGGAGGTTCCTCTTGCCACCTGAGATGAACAGGTATGTGGCTATCTCCAAGTCTGGCAAAGTTGGATTATGCTTCTGTGATTTGGTTTGAATGATAAATAACAATTCAGTAAGTATTCTACTTCCAGCCTTACATTTCTCTTATCACATTTTCTGTGTTTTATGCATTGTCCTCTTTCCACATGAATTAGTTTCGAATTCTGCTGCTTTACAGATTTATGCCTTTTGGTTTACAGATTTATGTCTGTTCTTTACTTGGTTAACTTTTCTTTCTATGAGCCTGAATTTGACTATAGCTCCTTGTAGTATGCATGCAATTTAATCGCTTACATCCTTCTGTTAGGTCTACATAAGCAAAGCACCTGATGATTATAGGCCCCTTATGAACACAAATGCAAACACATTTGAAACTAGATGATTACTGTAGCCATCCAGTTCTTAAAGTGCTTGCATGTTTCTGTCTTTTCAGTGATGATAAATGTGTACCATAGTTTCTTCTTTTGTTTTGGATAGCTCTCTATGTGCCTTCCTGTTTATAACTGTTAAGTAACTGGTAATAACTTGTCAAGTTATGCTCATATCCCTTTGGAAACCACTTCCAAAGATCCCAGAATATTTGTTCACTGATAAGTGAAATGGCTAGCAGGTGAAGTTAACAAGGGGTGTTTGTGTGTGTGTGTGTGTGTGTGTGTGTGTGTGTGTGTGTGTGAGCTTAGCAGAGGCTGGAATGAAGCTTAACTTTCTTTCCAAGCTGAGTATAAAGCTAGAGGTATATTTTCCTTGGGAAATGAATTGAGAGTACAGAATTATGATTTCTGTATTCTTCATGCAATATGTGGTTTATCCATAATACTTATTATTATGATGTGTCCATGAATCATATTATGAGCAGAATATAGTGGGGTTTGGATTGGGTGAAAAGGGAGTGAAAGCCTGGCAGGGTAGTTTGGTTTACAGGGCATTGGTTTACCTCAAGCTTATTGAAATGTTTGCATGTGTTTCCTGAACAATTATGCAAATTAAAAAGTCTTAGTGAGTGGATTTATAACTAAATAAAATGTTGCAGTTTCATTCTTACAAGCGGGTTTTGTATCTCTTTGCTGGATTGCATATATTTTGCATGCTTTTCCTTTCACCTATAGATAAAATATCTTTACTATGTTCCCATATAGGGACTTCTTCAGCACCCACAATCCTGTTTCTACCATTTTTCACATACGAATGCAAAGTGCTCAAAATTCTAATAGGTTCAGTTATGCAAAAACCACATGAGGAAACAAGTAGTCACAGGTCTTGATTTGAATGGTGTCAGGAATTTGGGACTTACCTGATGCTATCAACACTTCTGTTTTCAGGTGGATATGCAGTGGGTGCAAGTTCTGGCAGAAGGTTGGGCAACTCCTCTTAATGGCTTCATGAGAGAGAGAGAATACTTGCAGTGTCTTCATTTTGATTGTCTGTTGGATGGTGAGACACTTTAAATTTAAGTATAACAGAGTCCACTTCTACTCATTATGTAGAGAGACTGTGGATAATTACTCCATTCATCCTTTAAAAGCAAAACCCCAGCAACCCTGTTTATTATGGCCTGATGAATGATTAACAATAAATCTGGATTCTTACTGGCCAGTTAACCACTCTCTGTCTTGGTGTTGCTGTTCCATCTTTTCACCTCTCCTCCTCCACCACACATGTATGGGAATTTCCTTTCCCCACTACTGCCATGACCAAAGGCTAAACTGCTCCTTCTCTGGACAGTCCTATGTAAGGGTTTCTATTTCATAACCAAGACTTATTTTTCTATGCCAAAATAACTTTCTGCCACTGTACTTTTAAATTCTACAAGTTGACCACTGCTGACAATTCTATTAGAGTATTTTAAAACTTCTTAGTAAGTAGTATAAAAGGTCTAAGTATGAGATGGGCACCAACACTAGAAACAAGCAATTAAATAGATATAAAAGAAGAGTTCATATCTCTGATGCCTGGACCATTATTTGAATAATGTTTGTTCCATATATATTTTTTAACCTTGTGTACCAAATATTTGCTTCTATAGTAGAATTCTAGATAATGGCATTATTTAACAGTAAAATCAGCTGCACTTTGGCAGTTTTTGAAGCTTGAAGTATTAAGTGCATAACCTTTCTTTATAATGATTTGGAATTTTAAAACAGATCACACATGTGTACTGTAGCATTAAATTAACACTACAGAAAAGTTTAGTTAAACAACAAAAGCCATGTGCCATGCTGATAGAATAACCTAACAACAACTTAGCATGGATTTAAATTCTTCAGTCTCAATGTAAGTTTTGTCAATGAAAAGTAGATCAACATTTTGCAGTAATATGTGGCATCCAGTGATGTTTTTGATACTTTAATCATTTTGTGGTAAAACTTAGCCAAATACGATTATTAACATGAATGAGCTGCTTGAATTCTAGGTTTGTTCCCAGTAAAACTTCAAGTCACTATAACAGAATTGCATTTCTTTGGTTAATGTTCTTTTTCTGTCTCGACAGGCATTGCATTCTAAATATGTTAGTAATGATATCAGTGCAGTTCTAGAAATGTATACATTTAGATGATTTCTTTGAAGTGTGTGTAAGGAAAAAGAACACCTTCAACAGAAATGTTGAGTTCATCCCCATAGTCCTTTGGTATGCAGGGATTGTGAAATTTTCTCAGATAATACAGCCTTCAAAGGTTGTTGTCTTGGATTCAGAATCAAAACTGGAAGAAGAGGTGGGATTGAATGCTTAGCTGTATAATACCAAGGCCAAGTGACCCAGAGATAACAGTCGGCCAAAGAGGACCTGACATTGCAAAGCCCAGGGAGCCAAGGTTCCATTTGGATGCCAGGAAGCACTTCCTGACAGTCAGGACCCTGAGAGTGTGGAATGGGCTTCCACGAGTGGTCGTTGAGGCCCCATTGGTGCAGGTGTTCAAGGATAGGCTGGACGTCCACATGGTGGGCATGTCATGAGCGGAGCCGGCTGATGCCGGAGGTCAGACTAGATGGCCCGGGAGACCCCTTTCTGTTTCTATGTTTCTATTTTCAAGTTCTGTGGGAAATTCTGTAAAGCCTTCTGAGAAAGGGAAAAGAATGGGGAAGAATCAGATATCTTTAGCAATTAGTCCATAAGCATCCTGAACCACCTTGAAGGTAGTAACAGCACCTTCTAGTTTAGGAGTGAGGAGAGGTAGTCAGCTTATAATAAATGTTATACCATTAAGCCACATTTCTCTAATAACCAGTATTTAATTTTGCTTGTGTCTGTGGTTATTGACTCTTGCATCACTCTTATTTTTTTAATACAAACCAGGCCTCTAACATAGTGGAGTGTTAGAAAGCCTTCTGCCCTGTTTGGGAAAGGAGTCCTGCGGGTGGAACGAAGACTGGCGCATGACAGCTGGTCCCTTTGCCTTTGGATATTGGATGGGCATTCTTATTTGCAGTTCCCTATTTTGGGAACATTCTTGCCTAGAAAATTTTGCATGGCATGTAGTCATGTCTTTTTATTTATGTATTTTTAATGCTAGTCATTATTAGAGTAGCAGTGCAGGAATATAAAAGATCTAAAGAGAAATTTGTTTGTTTGTTGCATTTGTATGCTGCCCCATAGTCAGAAGGCTCTCTGGAAATAAATATGCACACATAAATAAATGTTCACTCCCACACAGTTAGTTTTTCTTAATGACTCAAGAGATGTTTTATCTTTTCTATTGCACTCGTGTATCTCCCGGCTTCCAGTCTTGTGCATCGTTAGGACGAAAGGTGTGCCTCCCTCACATTATCTCTTATGGCTAAAGTGAACCTCATTCATAATGCCAAGCTATATGGTGAGGATTGCTGTTTAAACATAGTGATGGCTCCATCCAGGTATGGAAATGCAGGAACCTTCCTGACTGCTTCCTGTAGTAGTCACAGGCAGTCACAGTAGTCACAGGCGATCTTTCTCCTGGAGGGAGCTGTGAATTGCTGAGGAAAAATAGTCATTGCAGTGGCAGCCCGGTGCTGTTTGTGTTTGGATCATGCAGCTGGTATTTATTTTCTAGAGGGAATGATACTGGAATGAAAGATCCTTGGGTAACATGATGCACCTTCAGCCACAGTGCAGGGGATCTCCCACTTACTGTTGTAAAGCAGTAGAAGCAATAAACCTGCCCTCTGTGTCTTGAGCTACATTGGCAGTGAAAGGAATGAAAATCTAGAAATTCTGCAAGAAGTGATAAAAGTATGCACACAGGAGAAAGAGAGAAACATATATACATACTATTATATGCATATCAGTGATTATATGTGAAATGCATATGTATGAAAATAGTTATGCATAAGCTTCAACAAAAGCAGACCAGATATCCATTTGAGTAACCATTTGAACCTGGCCTTTGTACGCCATCCATTCAAATACTGAAAATGTTGTAAGGCCCTCAGACCATTGCATTATAGGAAGTGAATATCTGTCCTCCCAGTGTTGCAGTATTAGTCTTTTAACTGTTAAAAGAGCATGGAACATCCATTCATGCTGACCATTTGTTAATTTCAAGCAGCATGTAGGTAACTGAACAGAACATGTAAACTTTGTGTGCCAAGAGAGCAACAGGTTCTCAAGGAATTAGGGTATAGAATGGATCTTTATTCAAGAACCCTAGAAATTTATAATCCAAATGGAAAACTCCTGTTTTATCTCCTGTTCCGTTTGTCCTTTTCAGGGGGAATTATTAACCTATCAGTGCCTATAGTGCTGACAGCTACACAGGAAGACAAAGAGAGACTAGATGGCTGCACAGCATTTGCTTTGTTGTATGAAGGCCGGCGCGTGGCTATTGTCCGCAATCCAGAGTTCTTTGAGCATCGAAAAGAAGAGCGTTGTGCTAGACAGTGGGGAACAACATGCAAGGAGCACCCCTACATCAAGGTAGCTTTTGCATTCTTGTTCTCTTTCTGTAGCCTAAAAGGGTTCTGTTATCAAAATAAGAATCATCCATATAAAGCTGTCATCTTCAGTATTATTCGAGCATAAGCCATTTGGGCAGTGCCACAAGGTCACTCTGAAGTAGGGTGCTCTTCTCACCTGTAAGTGGTGATGCCTGGTGTGTATCTGGCTCAGCGGGAGGCCTTTCAGAGCCTCTGCTCCCCATTCCCCACCACGCTGCCCATGCAAGCCTTCATAATCAGTTTGTGACCAGGCAGGCAAGTTCACCCAGCCCAGTTGGTTCCTAGCTTGGGATGTGTCTCTTTCTCATCACTGCAAGAGCTCTATTCACTGCAGCAGAATCTCTCAGCTCAGGTCTACATAACTGTCTTCCTTGGTCTTCCACATTCAGTTTTCCTTCTAGCCACCTGCTCAATGTCCTACTGTATCTGGCTCTTGCACTCCTCCCACACTGCAACATGTTGACTGATTTTTTTCCTGTGTTCTTTTCTTCTTCCGAACCTCCTGCTGCTTTATTTGCTGTACAATGACTGGTCTCCTGACTTGCTACCTACAGAGCCTTCTCTGGTAACCCAGATCATAGCAGCCAGCCCATCACTAAAGCAACAAGGGAATGCTAGGGAGTGAGCATTTATTGTAAAGAGAGCGTGCAAGTGAAAAAGCGGGGGTAGAAAGCCACACTCAAAGTAATGGAGACCTCAGTCCTTGCAGTGAAGAACACCGATGCAACCAGTGAACCAGATTTGAACCAGATTTCCTTCTTTCCTTGATAATTTTCTTTCCTGTTTTTATACAATATATGTGTGCTCTGTAGCTGCTCAGAATGTGGAAATCTGACTGGAAGGAATGTGTGAGTGTGTAAGAGAGAGAGAAAGAGAAAGACACGTATACACGACAGAACAGATTTAACATGAGCCCTGTAGACTGCCAGTGAAGATCAGAGAGAAGTTTGTCCTCTCCTGTGGTTTATAAATGTAGCCTTGTGTGCAAGAGACATACAGGAAGTACACAAAAATGAATTGCTCGGCAGTGATGACAGGAAAACAGCTGGGCTTCTCTGCCTCAGGGCTTGGCTCAGCCAACTCAGAGCACTGGAGCCCAGCCTTCTGCTTGTCCTCTGTTTCAACAAACAGTTTCAATACTACATTTAATAGGATCTCTGGACTGTTACTGTGACCCTAATTGAGGTTATAGTTCAGAGTCTTAATGTGGTAAGTATTCTGGCTGCTGCTCCTGGCACACCCTCTAAGCTGCCAGAGATCAGATTGGCAAAAGTGGATTTTAGTCCACTGGTCCAAGAAATGGCATATTTACCCGCTCCCTGCCAGACAGTTCTGACTGCCAATTGCCCTGCAACCAGTGAGTGGAAGGAAAGTTCATGTTGGCTTTCGCCGTGAGCCAAAGTAGCTTTTCCCAGTCTGTCATCCTGACATTTCAGGTAATGGTTCGTATTGTGCCTGTGTATTACCTGTGGTCAGATCTTGTGTCACAAGAGGGGGGGCGGGCCACGCCAGATAGCCCATGATGCGGAGTTTGAGTAGCTGTGGGAAGCCATAACTGAGCATTCAGTTACTCCAGGCCTCCCCCATGGTCAGAAGGCAGGAGGGGTGACACTCAGCTTTGGCTCAGCTGGGAGGTTGGACCTTGATGGAGGCCGCTGCTTTTCAGCCAGGGGCGTCTTCCATGGGAACAAGAAAGCAGCTGAGAACTCTTCAGTAGAAAGGATGTGTCTGAAGGGAAGCTCAAGCTCAAGAGGGTGAAACAGAGATGTCCTGTGAAGTGCAGGGTGCATTATGATCTAGGCGTTCTTGCTAGGATCAAATGTCTGATAGTGATCTTGTAGCAGCAATTACCCTATATTGAAATGAAAACCAGAGACCATGGAGGTTTCTGGATGTAACATCTTTCTAGCCTGAAAAGCTTCTTTGTATTGCTTCTTTGTTGGAACTATGAACTTGTTCGGGCTTGTTTTGCATTCTAAACTGAAATGTGTTTGGATCTGTGGTTGTAGCTCCTTAACCAGGATCAGTTCTGCTGTATAATGTTCTCTGCTGATTTGTATTGGGACTGTGAAATCTCAAAGCTAATTTAGTGATGCTAGTGCAATAAAAATCTTACTGAAAGCTGAGCCCTCTGTGTTGGGGAGACAGGATTTGGCAGTGATGTGGCTGTGGCTGATGGGGCTGGAGTCTAAAGCAACTGGAGGGCACCAGGTTGAGCAAGGCTGAGCTGCATGTTCACTTGTAGCACCTCTATCCAAACAGGAGCACCAACAAGGCAGCCGACTTAGGAGCTGCATCTTACCCCTTTGTTCTGCCAGAACTTCTCTGTCTTTTCCTTTTCCTTCCGATGTCTTTTCTGTTGACTTCTTTTAGTTTGCAAGCCTAAGGATGGGACCATGCAATGTCTTTTTCTTAAAAGCGTACTGGTGGCAGTTCCTTTGTCAGGCAGCATTTGTTTGAAAAGCTGCTTAATATAGGAGTGGCTATGGGAATTCTTACACTAGCTACATATGACAATGAGACCAAGTTTTCTGAAAGACCAGATTGTCTCATAATTGCTCTGGTGTTCAGACACCCTTCCCTTGGGACCATTGTCATCAGGCGCAGACATTGTCGTCAGATTTGGGTGGGGATGTTGAGATGGCCTGTTCAATTGTTATTCCTGGCCTCTGGAGCTCCTTGTCAAGGGCTTGGCAAATTTGGCTCCTCTGTTCTCCTGCCAAGCAGGGAACAGTGATTTTCTTTAGACAGTCCTGCAGCCTGTAAACTGGTCTGCTGTTGAAGGGATTTTTTAAATGGCTGGTGTTTATCTCTTGGATTTGTTGTGTTTAAATTGTGTTTTTAATTCTGATGTGTTTAAGATGTTAAGTCAGTTGTTGTTATTACTTGCCTCGAATTACTTGCCTCAAAGTAGGATATAAATGAATTAAATAGTCCGGTCACATACTTCAAATATTATTCTTAGGTTTAAGTACATGTATGCATTTAGAAAGCACACATATTGGTTTAGGGAGGCAATCATTCATGTAGTTCTTTTCAGATGTACAGTACAGCTGACTATCTCGGTGGATTATTCAATTGTTTCCTTTGTTCCATTTTTATCTGATCAAAACCATTTTCTTCCTTAAATTTCTTAGATGGTCATGGAACAGGGAGACTGGCTTGTGGGTGGTGATCTGCAAGTCCTTGATCGTATTTATTGGAATGATGGTCTTGATCAGTACCGTCTCACACCTGCTGAGCTAAAGCAGAAGTTCAAAGACATGAATGCTGGTGAGTTCTTGGAATGAAGATGGGCGATATGAATGAGAAATCCCTCTCCTGCTGTCCAGAATCTCACTGTCTTCGCCTCTTCCACCGAAGAGCAGTACACCAGCAGTGGAATTTGATTTTTGTTCTCAACAAAACCACAGTTTCTGTGGTTGTATTCTTAAAATCCAGTACTTGCCAGTGGAGGAGAAATACAGCTGAAATAATTCTCAAGGTTGCTGCTACTCATCATCCTTTCAACAGGCAGGCTTTGCTTCTCCAAAGTCTGATCAGCAGCCATAATAATCTCCAAGCATCTTTCTGATTGTGTGTATCCTTTTATCTTGCCTGGCTGTGGCTGTCTTCGCATTGTAGCCTGTGTTACCTTCAGCCTGCTGGGTGGATCTTGAGGTTTTGTTTATTCTGTTCGCTGCCATTTCCCTGAGTGTGTCCCATTTTCCTTTTGTGAACTGTCCTGAATTTCCTTTAAAAAAGCACAGACAAAGAAATTCCAAGAACTGGTTGTGAGGGAACAAAGCACATGAAGCTCGAGGAATGTCTAGGGTGATGAAAGGTATTTCAGTTTTCTTGAAAAAATCGCTATGGGAATAGTTTTGCTAGCTTTTCAGTATTTGTGAGTACATTTGTTTCCGTTAGTGTTTTGTGTTAGAAAAATAAGTAACAGACCAAGTAGCAAGAGTCTGGCAGCTTATTTGTTTGTTCTGTGCTGCTCTAGTTGAAGGAACAAGAGCAGCCTCCTGCCTGACACTCAAAGACGTGGAGACTGAAATTGGAGCAGAAATATATATATTTATTGAATCGCTTATGGCTTTAGCTGTAAAGTGGTGGATGCATATCTTAATTGGTAGGGTTGAGTTTGAAGGCTGAAACCCTCCCCCCACCCCGAGTTATTTTTGTTTCCTGTAACAGAGAAAGCAGGGAAAGTGAGAGAGAGTTTTCCCTCCAATAACGTGCAGTAGATTTGTCAAAATTCTCAGAAATAGCTTGTATTCAATTGATCACCTAATTAAATTGGCTGGTTTTCCATTGATTAGTCAATAAGAAAGTTTAGTTGCTTGATTTTTAAAATGTTGCCTAAATGTCTTGACTCTTGCAGATATTGAGTTGCTTGTGGAAAAATCAAACATAAAATGAGAAGTTAGTCCTTGTACTTTACTGTAGTTAAAAATAAGGAGTAACTGGCAAAACCAAAAGAACACCTGTGGATACACACTGAACACAAGGAAGTTTTTTCTTCTTCAAGGAATAAAGATCATGTTCTTAGTCCGATGTTTAGCAATTCATGTTTGGAAAGATTTCTGTGTATCGTTAAGCTGGATTGCTGACCAGCTGTAGTTGAGTCGGAAGCTCAGTTTTAAAGATGTTTCTTTAGCCCTGCATTTTTCTCACTCATGCATGTATTCTCTTCCTTATAATGAAAGGGAATGGGGTTTCTTTTCTTTCCTTTCCTTTCTCTGCTTCATCATGTATAGTGGGTGACTTATCAAATGTATCACTGGCAAAAAAAACTCAAAATAGGTTGGGGAGAGGGAAGATATTGCTACTGCTGTAGCTATGGGTGTTCAGTTCTGTCTTTGCCTGCAAAATCTCCCTGTGGGAAAAAAGACTATATTGATTATACAAGCACCTTTCATACATGTAGCACTTGTTCACATTTCATTTACAGCTGTTTCCTAATGCTGACCCATTTAAATCCTTATGTCACAACTCATGCCACACAAGTCATATTAGCAGACAGTATTAAGGCACTGCAGATCAAGTGATGAAAACTGTCAATCCTACAGTGCTGGACTCCATGAAATACCAAATTCTGGGGACAGGGCATTGGCAAAAGGTCATCTTCAGAGAAGGCTCTAGAGACATTAAATGGCGATACTACCTGATCTAGCAGAGCTCATTGCATTATGTTTGTTCTCATCTCTCAAAAGTTTGGCATAGTCCAGTAGACAACCAGTTGATATACATCTGAAGGTATATGAACTCATATCCCCTTCTCCATACACACAAAAATGTCCCAGCTGTGTTGGGGTTCCAGCTTTTCTCCGAATCACGCTTCATGCAGTGTACAGAATATTGCAGACTGTTCATCATTGACTGCCAGAGCATAAATCAGTAATTCTAAACCCTTTGACATCTCTCTCTCTCTCCCCTTTTTGTTTAGATGCCGTCTTTGCTTTCCAGTTGCGCAATCCTGTGCACAATGGGCATGCTTTGCTAATGCAAGATACTCATAAGCAGCTTTTGAGTCGAGGTTACAGACGCCCAGTTCTACTCTTGCATCCTCTTGGTGGTTGGACGAAGGATGATGATGTTCCTCTGATGTGGCGAATGAAGCAACATGCAGCAGTGCTGGAGGAAGGAATACTGGATCCTGAGACCACCGTGGTGGCTATATTTCCTTCTCCCATGATGTATGCTGGACCAACTGAGGTAAGGCAACCTGCCACAGCTTGCCAATTATTTTTATTCATTAGTTCTGTTCATAGGTAGCTTCAACTAATTTCTTGAAGTTGATTGATCAGTAACATCTCCTTCAGTATCAAGTGCCTTGCTACAGAAATATGAAACAGTTTGAGGGCACTCAAGGCTCTTCTCCTGGGTTGATAGAATTTGGCTAGAGGCCTTACAGGAGTGGTCCTTCAGTGCTCTGCTTCAGAAACAGTTCCTTTGCGGTTGAAGCGTCTTATGATGCCATCTCTTCTCCTGTCATGTATTTCAAGGGACTTAACAAAGGCTCTTAGCATATTGAACTATGGCCAAAACTGAAGAGTTGGGATCTCTTCCTCCTGCCAGTCTTTATTCCAATGTTTTTCTTCTTATCCACATGGAGTTGAGACAAGTGTGAGCAAACAACTGAAGAGAAAACATGCTTTTGGCAGCCCCTTGGCTGAGCAAAGGGCATCAAAGCATGTCATGCAGTGCTGTAAACTGGCTCTCTCTCAATATTTGATTTGGAACTCTTGAGTTGCTTAATGATGGGATCTCAGCTGTTACGCTACATTGTTATTCTGTCTCTCTGACTCTCTCTTTGTTTCATTTAGCTTTGGAGTAATTCCATTTAACGTCCTCCTCTGGCTTACTTGTGTAAAGTCCACTTGCCTTCAAGCCATTTATCTTGCTGGGCATGGGGTGGAGACGAATGGGTAAAATACACACAGAAGAAGAAAACCAAGTCTTAATCCACACATTGAACTCAAAGGCGAGCTGCCACTTCTTTGATGATCGTTCTCATCTGTGACCTATCCATGTTATGAAAGCATCTTGCTTTTTGGACTTGCTTGCCTAAGGATGAAGACAGACACACATTAAAGGGAGTATTGTGAACACACTTTGATCTCTCTCTCAAGATTAAGCAACACATTATATTAATTATATTGCGTGTAGCTGACCCTCTCGCTTGCTTTCTTACTCAGGACTAAGTCACATAACCCTTACTCTTGGGATTAGCACACATCTGGAGGGAAGGCATAAACCTTCCCGCCCCAACGTTTGCATCCTGAAGTTCCTCCTCTCAGTGCGTGGCAATTAAAAGATGAAGGAAAAAACTTCCTTTGAATAAAAAAGTTGTTGCTTGGCACCAGAATAGGGGTCAGGCAGACCTCTCTAGGGAGGTACTCCACAATTTGAGACTGCCTCAAAAAAGACCCACTCATAATTAGCCTCCCACCGAAACTCATTGTGTGTGAGCTTTCAGATAATAATTAGGGCATGAGCAGGAATGTATAGGAAGCAAGAGTCTTTAGATACTGTGACCCCAAGCTATAAAAGGCTTCCTCGTTACCAACAGCCTATAATGCATATTCAACAATATAAATCAGGGACAGCCAACTTGTTGCCCTTAGTTGTTTTTGTCTACAACTTCCATCATCCCTTGCCATGAGCAACACTGCTTGGTAAATCTTGTATGCCACTGTGAGAAGATTTTACCCTCAATGGCATCCTAGAATTAATTTTGGATAGATAGTTCAAGTTGCCTACCTCTGCTACAAGCCAGTACTATAGTTCTGATTTGTACAAGCTGTTCTTTCTCATCTATACTGGTATGGAAATGTGAGTGCCTACTTTGTAGAGGGAATCTTATGTACAGCTGAGACAAACTAGCCAACAATGTGAAAAGATTAGTGCAGGTGTCTGTGATCAGAATCCCTGCAGATATTCACAGGAATGGAATAAGACTTCTAATGACAGAATCTTGAAATCTTGCACCAAAACTTTACAATATCATCTCATACATTATACGAAAACATGTTTGTCTCAAATGAATGCCTGAGAGAGTTTGCAAAAATGAAAAGTCAAGGCTTTCTTAAGGATTTTCATAAATGGGCAAGGTAACTCAGTTCTCATTCATTCATTCTCTCAGTGATTGTTCTCCTATAGGGAGAGGTGTACTCACTAGCTGCATGTCCCTTCCTGTTCCCCATCCTCTTTGCCAATCTGAAGGTGACTAGTCCATTAGCCAAAGAAGAAGCAGGGGGTTTGTTCTTCCCTTCCTGCCAAACAGAAGAACACTCTGCTCCTGAGGCTTTTGTGCTGGAACTATAAATGGAGTAGAATGCTCTGGGCTTCTCAAAGGAATGAGAACCACCAGTTGCTATTGAAGGAAGAACACCAGCAAGGGAAGATCAGCCCAATCCAAACTGTGCTTGAAAGACCCACTAACAGTTCACCACCTTCCTCTGGCTTTGCAAAACCTGTCTCTTCCACTTCTTTTTCTCCCACTCCCTTTGGCTTGTGTGTTGTATCCTTGTAAGCTGGTGGCTTATAGCAACATGGCCTCTCTCTCTTTCTTTGAAGCACTCCTGAAAAGGGAGGATAAATTGCAGTAACTACCTGATTAGACACATGTTCTCTGCATGACTTAGAATCCTGATTATTCAGGGCTCCCAATCACGAGGGCAGCAGACTTGCATAGAAAATGCTTCCTTTTTTAGATGTGCAACCACAGCATGTGGATGGTGGGTGTGAAGTCAGCAGGAGTTGCCATGGTAGTGAGGACATAGTGGTAACTGCAGGAGGGGAGAATAAGTAGAGTGTAAATCTTTCCTTAATAGTGTCTTCAATTTGCATCTATGAAACGATGGTATTCTTTCAAAGAACATTGCTAATGCATCTTCTACGGACTTCGTACTTTTAGCTATAAATCTGGCACATAGGCTGATCATACCCCATTTATTTAAGTGGAAATGAATAATGTGCCATATTGCATCTTTTGGCTACTTGCCATATTTTTTGTGGTTTCTGAAAGTTGTACATTACTAAATGAAGTTGCATACGTGGATATGTTTTCCACTTATGGACTTGGAATTTGTATTTGGAGAACATGGAAGCAAGGAGTTGAACAAAATCTATACCCGCCGTCTTCAGTCATGAATACAAATAAAATAAGAAACTTTCCTTAACTTATGCCGTGTTTTCCAATGACCTCAGAAAACCACTTGCCAATAGTGTGTTTTAGCCGACTAATAAAAGACAACTCTTCCTTTAATCATTTTCTGTAGGTCATTTAGAAGACATTGGTACCAGATTTGTTTCTGTAGCACAAATGACTTGCAGAACAATAGACAGCTGCTAAGCCAATATGGTTATCAACTCTCTGAACATGGTTTTTCAGTCAGTAAAGATTTAATAGGCATGTTTTCTAAATCTCAATCTAAACATATTTTTGGAAACCTTTAATATGCATTTTTATGGGGTGTTGTCAAATAAGCTAGGAGATTATGCTTACAGTCCATAGATTGTTACCTGTATGAAAGCAAAGCATATATTTAAAAAGAACAGATGCACTATTTTTTTTTTTGGCTAAAAAACACTGGGGAAGATGAGCGTATAACTCGCTGAAATTTAACTCTGCTTTGCTATTCTTTGAGGTTTTTTTTGGAACTGCACTTTCTTACTTTCTTAATTTTTAATAACTGCAAGATGAAATGCTTGCTTGCCTTGCCTTACAGTGACATGGAGCATATAATTATCCAAATCCACCCAAGATACCAGGAGGTGAAGTGGCATAGCTGTGTATCCCTGTGCAAATAGGTTATACCAATGTAATACATACCCTAAAAGATTGGGATAACAAGGAGAAAACCACATGTTTTTGCAACATACCTCTCTCCATCAGCACCATAATCTGGTGCATGTTACTTTTCTCTGTGGTCAAGGTGAAAATGTTTGCCACTTGTTCACTCTGGCAGCAGCTCCTTTTGCCTCTGACTTTAATATTTACATGCTGGTGTATGGAGAATGTGTGTTTAAACTTTTGTAGTACTTTGGTCATTTTAACTTTCGCTTTTGGAAGTTTTTCAGTGTGGTGGTCTTCTCTGAAGCGTACTGTCTGCCTTACTATGCCATGCATTAATCAAAAGAAGAGCAGAAAGGTACCTTTAGTGAAATTTATAATGATCTGCAGACCTATTATGGGATACTACCAAGTGTGGGCCTTTAAAGCATTGCTGTTCACTTGCTTGTAGTGATTGCCTTTTTTGTGATTGATTATATGCTGCAGTAGCCACTTGTTGCACAGTTTCTGCCTCTTGCAGACTTTGAAAACTATCAGAAATAAAATAGTGGGTGTGGTATACTTTTCTGCAAAAGCATTGGTGAGAATTCTTCTGGCTTTCACACCAGAAATTGGCAACCTTTCACGCTGTGTTTATGATCAAGATCAAAGACTCTGTTTTAGATTACTAGAATACTGCTTGTGAAGGCTGTATACAGATTTTCTTTTTCTGTCTCCTTTTCCCCTGATTTCCCATTTCTTATGACAAATAGGAATAAAATGCTGCCCCTCCATCATTGTTCCAGCTGCCCTCTTCACCAGGCGGATTTCCTGCATTCTCTTCAACTTTTGATACTAACTATGGTTAATGTTATATATGCACCAGAATTAACATAAACCACAATTTTGCACATCTATTTCTAGCCTTGGTCATAAACTAGAGTCTGTTGTATCTTGAAGTAGTGGAGGTGGTGGCATCATTTCAGGATACCAAGGTTTACTGGTACAGCAGCTCTGTGAGATTTATTTACTCTTGTACCCATTGTATAGATAATGATTTGTCCCATGAAGGCTGTGCCAAGTGTGCGTGTGTATACACCATTAGTGTCTTGACATTCTTTTACTCAGCATTCGATGACTTCAGACTAATGTTCACTGCTGATCCAACAGCTCAGTATTGCTGATGCTGCTGGACAATGGCTCCTTGATGGTTTGGGGTGGAGCTTTCCCAGCCCTTGCTGGGAGATGCCAGGAATTAGCCCGTGACCTTTGCATGCCAAGCATGTGCCCCACTTTTGAGCTTCATCCCTTCCTTAAAAGGTTTCCCAGGCAAACGTTTGAAGTGGCTCCTGTTGGTTGTGAAATGCAAAGGACTGTGTGCCCAAGCTGCTTTTTAGGAGTCAATGGGGAAAACCTTGGCTGCATTCTGAGTGCACTCTTGCTGAATCATAGCCATTAACCCACAATTTAAACCCAGCTTGATTAGGATTGTCAGATATTACTCCAGCCAAGCCTTAACTGTGGCTTCTGGCCCATGACTTCATAGTGGTCAAACATCCGAGTCACACACTGTTTGGTTAAAGCCACATTATCCAGTCCATGTAGGAAGAAACAAAGTGCACCCTTGGGAAGATGCTTGATGGAGGAATGCTTGGACTGATAGACATGCTGATTTAGCATCCTGTCACCCAGAAGCCACATAATGTCTGCAGCAGCCTATGTGGTAGGCCATCTGGCAGAAAGCAGAGAATTAGTGGTAACCATTGTGTGTTGCACAGTCCAGATGGCTCACTGAGAGAGAGTTGCACAAACTGCACATACATTTTCTGGCTTTGTGAATGCTGCATCCAGTGCTCTTTCAGCACTCTTCTTGTTTAAACTAAACCAAGCAGCAGGCATTTTAAGAAGTTCTCAACTGGATGTGTAAGTCAAAGGAAAGGGACTCTAATTGTGGGGACTGTGGAAGACATATAAGTCTGAAAACTAGATAAGAACTTTATTATCTATTTCCAACCAGAACTGAACAGCAGTAGGCAACAAAGTAATGGAGCCAAAATACAATGGGGGGATAAATGTATATTATGATATATTATGGATTAGTGCTTTGTACTGTAACTGCACACTCTGTTGGGTATGTTAAGAAAGGCTGAGAAAGTTCCTGTGGTCCCATTGCCAAGAGCCCAACTTCCGATAGTCTACCCTGTTTTGGATGCTGGCTTTACCACTGAATTCCCCTGAAACAGCTGCAAGAGTAAGGCAATTTTTTTAAAGGGGAAGGAGACAATGGACTAGGATTTAAAAAGGACAGGAAAAAATAAAGTAGAATTGAAACATAGTAGTTAAAGACCAAAACAAATTATAGTCAGAATTCTCAAGAGGGCAACTCTTTAGCATATTACTTTGTAAGAAAAAAAAAGAAAAAAGCTATAAACTAACACCCATTGCCTAGCTAATGTAGAATAGTACCCCAGGAATAATGGATCAGACAAGCCTTAGGACAATTTCTTTTTCTGGAGGGAGGCCAAGACCCATGCCAAGGACCTTACTTTTTATTCCCACCCTGGAAAATAAGGTGACAGCTGACAGCCAATCCCAGAGTGGCCTGCCATCTCCCTAGGCATCTTCTCCACAGGCTCTGCCCCACCTGCAGACTTTCAGGCCCTATGGCAGTAAAGCCCTGCCCACTGACCTTGGGAAGCAACTTGCCTCCCCCTAGGAGCCTCCTAGATAAGCCCTAGGAGTAAATCGCTAACTTCCCAGTCTTTCTCACTGGGGCCCAGTCAAGAGAAAACAACAGAAAAGTTGGCTGACTTCACAGTGTGCTGCTAAGTCACCTGCCATAGCTGCTAGGTCACACTTCAGGGAAAGCTTGTATGGAAATAAAAAGGTTAGGGAGATGTCTAAATATCACGGGGGCCTATTTGGTAAAGTGTTCCAGTTGCGGGACTAAATGCTCTAGTACAAGAGCTTCTGAGGTGAATCTCAAGAGTATGTGGTATTCTTAGAAATGCTCCCTCTTCCAAGAGCAGATACTGGGCAGGGGCTTGAAGAGTGAGATGCTCCTTAGGATACAACTAAATCCTGTACTGCTAGTGGGTAAACCATACAATAACACTATCCAGACACAGAAATTGATTTTTTAAAACTACATCTCTTCTTAATGAAATATCTTTTGCTTGTGCTTTTATCTGGGGAAAGGAATTCTTTTATTTCTGAATATCAGAAGTGCTTGCAAGCAAATGGGCAAGGGGGAGAGAAGAACGAATGCTATAAAACTTTCATAAGTGTGTTTTGTTTGCATCTCTTTTATAGTTATTACTGGGAGTGATCTTCTTGGCATCCAGTTTAAAATAAAGAGTTTCTCGTTTAAGACAGTTTTTATTAGTAAAACAAATCACTATGTTAAAAAGGTATGAATTTTGAAATCTCTTGGCTAGATTGAACCAGGCAATTTTTCTTGGGCAGAGATTCTGGAAAAAGTTAGAGGGTCTTACTCCCTCTCTTTCCTCTGTGGCAATAGGGGTGCCTTTGAAACTCAGAGATGAATAAAAAATCTTGAATACTGTTCAATGTCAGTCTCATGGTTCATGCTGCAGTATTTAATTGATAGGTTAGATTAATCAAAAAGGCCTGTTGCTTGGTGCTCTGATTATGCCCTCACCACAGTGGGGAGGCTTGTAACCAGGTGACCTGTGTGCCTGCTCGCTCTCCTGGCCAAGTGCTAACCCTTAATGGGCAACAACAAGGTGCCTGGTCTTCTCGTTTTGGACCAGACATGCCTCAGATAGAAGCTGCCTTCAAATACGGAAAAGTAGCCATCCTTGTTGCCAGACTGTGGTGGCCGTGTTGTCTAGGAGCATGAGATCCTTCATGTTCACACGATCAAAAGTAATGCAAGTTTTTATCCTCCCTCTGGAGTGATAGTCTGTTCAGGCTGTTAGCAGAAGAATCCGACTGTTAACTGATCTGCTCTTTGCAAAGCTGCTCCAGGCTCACTGCTACGGAATACCACCCTTTTTTGCCACCGTGTGTATGCCCAGACCCTGTCCCTTTCATCTACTGTGTGCACGTGCACGAGTGAAGAATAAATAAGCGGATGGCTGTGGTAGCTCTGTTCTTGGTGAGCATCTGACCCTGCAACTTAGTTTAGAGATACAAAATATTTGTATTTTAAAACATTTCGTTTGTGTAGCACTATCCTGCTTTTATGCTTGCTCCTTTTTATTGCTGCTTTGAATTTTGTGTCTCATTTCTCGTTCTAGGTTCAGTGGCACTGCAGGTCGAGAATGGTAGCTGGAGCAAATTTCTACATTGTGGGCCGAGATCCTGCCGGCATGCCTCATCCCGAGACTGGAAAAGATCTCTATGATCCAACCCACGGTGCCAAAGTACTGACTATGGCGCCAGGCCTGATAACGCTGGAAATTGTACCCTTTAGAGTGGCGGCATATAACAAGAAAAAGAAATGCATGGATTACTATGATTCGGATCAGTAAGTTATTTTTCACTTTTAAAAACTGATGAATGTCCCACAACATACTTTGGGGGTGGTGTTTGGGATTTGGTTTTGCATGCCAGCACGTCTCAGCAGACATTACTTTGCTTCCAAGTAAATTCTTGCTTCTCAGGGCCAGTGTTCAGCTCATTTTTGTCTGATTTGTGAACCCACACTCCCTGGTCTCACCATTAGTAATTTTCAGCTGCTTGTACCTTCTGACCTCAGTGCCAAAACAACAAATTGGCTATCACTGCTCTGAAGCTTTTGTCTCTCTGGGTGGCCTTGGAATGGAGCCAAAACGTGCTCCTGTATTGATACTATAAAATATTGCTACTCATGATACCACAGAGTATGTTGCAATTTTTGCTTTAAGTCTCTTCATTTGAGAGTTTGCATGCTACATTTGATACTGTTGTATAACTTGACACGTTTCTAGATGTGTGTTTACATTATTGTATAATTACAGAAATTTCTCCATCTGTGATAAGTATATATTTGTCTGAATCCCTTCTGGATATGTCATTAATCCTGTATTTGACAAATGCCCACTTTGCTGCTATTTGTATGTGGCATCTTTTATAAGAATGGCATATTTTTGTGCATGGAATGTGTAAGTAGAGCACCCTTTCATTGATTTCAGGGAGTGGTGCAGTATTTTGTGAACACTTATTTTGCATTTGGTAAGCATACTGCCTTTTAATACTCTGCAGTGCAGCACAGTTTCACAACTGGAAAAGGGGATGATTTTATATGTGTTGCTTTTTATGTACAGTGTAGAAGAAAATATATTTTCTAGTAGTACAAGTTACAGTGTCACTGAGCAAATCTAGCTATATTGTGCATTTTCAGAAGTCAAGCAAGATCCATCTGGCTAGTACCTGGATTGGCAATTATTTTACATGCTACTTTGAGTTATATGAAAGAATTAACAGTGTAAATGTAATAATAAATTAATAGTCCCTATGCTGATTCTGTGGTTTGACATGCTTTAGGCAAATGATCATCCCAGTCTCATCTTGGTACTTAACCCTGGACTGGGTCTTAGATAAGTAGCTGACAAATCTATTTGTTCCCCTTTAGCTTTTTCACTTTCCAACTCATATGAACATTTACCCATATTGCTTTTATTGTGCTTTTAAATTCTCCTTCTTTAAAAATATATTTTAATTTATGTTAATTATATTTTCTATGTCACACAAGGTTTAAAACAGGGGTCCCCAACCTTTTTGGACCCATGGGCACATCTGGGAATTTGAGAAACATCTGTGGTCACCACCACAAAATGCTTAATAAGTGGATCTGTTGTATCTGTGGATCTTATTGAGCAATAACTATTGCTTTGTGTCTACTGGAACCTGCAACACTATAGGGGGTACAATACGGCTCTTGCTTCTTTTTGCAGTGTGGTGAAAACCAGCCTTGTAGATTCCATTGCAAAGCTCGCAGAGCACGGCCGTTCACAGGGAAAAGGAATTGGCAATAATGCATTCAGTAATAATGTTACAAAAACGGCATACATGACCGCTCGTAGCTCTTACCTTCTAGAATGTGTGGCTTGCTTTTCTAAAAGAGAGAGGGAAGTCTTTTGAGTTTCAGTTCTCAAAAGCTTTTACATTTAGCTTCTCAAATGGAAGGAAATCACTTAGGTTATGCTCAACAGTAGATTAAGCTTTGTGGTTAGCAAGCCAGAAATTTGTATTCAAGAAGCACAGCTGCTAATTAAGTGCATATGAAAATTGCAAAATGATTGAATAACAGAAATCATGCTAGGAAGATTGAATAATCACTGATTTTTATCATTTCATATTTGACTAATTAAGTACTCCCACAGGCAAAGATTAAAGTCGTGCTAGTTACTTTTGAAATGGGCTGATTGACTTGTTGAAGGTACCGTTGATAAAAAACAGCATTTGAGCCCTGGGTGGCTTGTAAGCTTCATGCTGTGTAAGAAGAAAGCAGAAGGATCTTTCTAATACTGGAGCAATGCATTGTTTAAAGGCCTCACAAGCTCTCAATAGTAATGAACATTTTTTTTTTATATAGTCTTGTTTAGAGCAAAACACAAAATGCTTAAATGTGAAAAAGCCCATCTTATTTCAATTCTTTCTCTGAAGAAGTAGCCATCCCAATAAATCCAGAACTCTGAAAAATCACTAAACTTTAACTTGGCTGAATAAAAATTATCACTTACAAAATGCCAAACTTTTACTAAATTTGTATAGTGATTACAGAACAATGCAAATATGGCCTTGCTGACTAGCTTACAATCCAGTAGATACGATGAGGAGGAAAAAAAGAATGGGAAGAAGAGAAGGAAGAAGAAAGAAAGCAAATTCAGATGTCAGTTTTTAAAGTTATGGAAATTACTACTGAGGAGACAGTTCTGGAAGAGGAGGAACTTTAATGCTCTTTAGTTCCAGCTGACCTGATGGAATGGGCTTTGCCTCTGTCAAATATGGATACTTATGAAAATATAATTAGAAAGATGGATACTCAAATTATTAAACAAGGGACCATTGATTTACCTGCAGTTTCTTGGATCATGAAAGAGGGACAATGCTTAATATCTAACTTGTACTTAAGTACAGATACAAGGTATAAAGCAGAAACCTTGTACAGTGCATAGCACATCCATTTAAAATGCAAACTATTTTTGGTAAATATAGAGATAATAAGGAAAATATTTGGCCCCTATTTTCATAAATATTCTAGGTAAAACTGGGAATTTATGAGAGGGTATACTGGTCTTTTCTTCTTCCAGAAAGAGTCCTTACTTTTATTTTGGAAAAAGTGAAACTTTGGATTTAGCCAATTGATCATAACTGATGCAAAATATATTTGGAGCTTGTCTTTAAGAAGATGATATGAGTTGTTTGGCTTAGTTTAAATGATTAGGAGGAGAAAAACAAAGAGTTCACTGGGCTGGTTTTTGCTACTGCAGCTTAACATAACCATCCTTCTAGAATTTATTTTAGAAGCATTTTGTCATGAAGCACGGACATGCTGCAAGTTCAGTTTGCACATAGAGCATGTCTCTCTGGTCTGGAAATGTAGAAAAATTACCTTTGTGTCTAAATAAACCACCGTGTGCACTGGCCTTTTCCACTATGAGGCCTAGTGGCAGAAAAGTATTTTTCTGATCAAAATCTTCCAAGTGTTCCTTAATTAATTAGGCTGTAGATGTGTTTACTATAGCTGAGTTGGAAGGAAGATGGCTGGCAACATGTGAAAGAGAGCTGTCACTTTTTGTGGTGTCTGTAGCATGCAGCACAGATGTCGGGTGAATCGTTGTCAGAAAAAGGTGCTGAGGGAGCTGTACTTTAAATTCCCCTTCAGAGGAAAGGCTTGCAAGCTGCCCAGACTTCACACACAGGGATTGGTGCTCTGGGGGAATGTATGGCTTTAATTGGTCTGCTTTTTTCTTTTAATCAGAATGTCAGACCAGAAAAACTCGCAGGCTTTTGTTGTCCCATTTTCCCTTGCCAGATTTCCCATGCTCAGATTTTCTCCATAAATATGGGTATCATCACTTTGAGGAACCCTTGATTGAATGAAGTACAAGTTGAATGGTGTATTGCCTGTAGAGATAATATTAGCCTTGTTCATGCAGGGCTGGGAGGCAGAGATACAACAGAGCAAGGATGAGTAACAAGTTAGGGTTCGAGTGAACTGATCATTCTTTCTTCAAAACATTGGAGGCTGCCCTATACTGAATCGGGCCATTGGTCGTCCTAGCCTGCTGTTGGCACTCCAGACTATGAAATTTCAGACATGGCTTTTTCTCTCCTTATTGAGAAAGGCCAAGCACCAACCTGATTGCAAAACATCTGCTCTACCGCAGAGTTTTAACCCCTGACCATCTGAATCTGAAAGAAGTTATACACATTTAGGTGTATAACTGAAAAATTTCTTAAGCTATAACCAAAAATACCCAAAACTTTTCTTAAGCCTATGTGCAAGGAATGCATGCAAAGAGATACATTCTTTGGTCCTGGATTGCTATTTAAACCATTGGTTAGCCTGTTCCTAGATTTTATATGTGGCATTTTGCCAAGTGTTCATGGAAACGATCTAGACTACTGAACTTTATTTTAAATGTACATTGAGAGTGCTATAGAAGTATTGGCAATGTTAATGAAATTGAAATGCTCGCACATGCACACACAAACACACAAAATTGGCCATGCATCACAATGATTAAAGATGAAAGACCATCTGGGTCACTTAAACAGATTTGTATATTGCCATCTGAGGTGTATAGCATCGCAAGGGAAAGTTGGGCAAGTCAACCATATTGTTTAGGTTGTTCAAAACAATGTGTAAGTTTTTATTTGGAAGTCCTCTGTAAAAGTTAGCCACATGGTGTTGCTGAGAATAATTATTATTAAGAATGAAAATGAATGTGGAAAAGATGCTCAGAAATCCCTTTGAATGAGTTTTGATAGCTGATGTCTCCCTATGCATTAGCAAATGCATTTGAAAATCCAAAATTTTACACCTCTTATTGACTACCATGGCAAATAAAAAGCAGGTTTAGCTTTTTTTCCCTCTTCATGTGTATGAAGTGTATTCCCTCCCTTCGGAGGGAATTATGCCTACCTAATTTCAGAAACAAGTGCAGCAGGTTTTGCTTTATTCACTTTAATAGATTAATTTTCTAGTAGGGGAACTGCCAATAACTTTTTACTTCTTGGCAGAATTGGATTGAATTCTAATAATCTTTTTTGACAGGGTCAAGCCCACCAAATATCAGATTAATGGCAGCAGGAGCTTTCCATACTTAAGGACATCCAAAAAGGATGTGCTTTTCCCCATAGGTGAAACATTCTTCTGAAAATGACGCATGCCCCAGAGGTGGCCCAAAGTAAGAGAGCTGCAGAATTTCAAATGGGTAGTTACTGGGGTTTATAGAGAGGGGGAGTCATCTGTCAGTGACTGTCAAAACACAGATCACAAAGGCCAGCTTTCATGATTTTGGAAAAAGAAGACTTAAAATTGGTGTGTGGGGAGATGCCAGGAATCTTGATTATGGCAGGGAAGACACCAAGCCAGTGCCAACCACTCCCAAGTGCTGCTTGGAAACATGTAGGTCAGTTGCCTCTGGTGGTGACTAGGGAAAGCTCAGTCAATGTGGCAAGGGTTTTTGCTACTTTTGCTGAGCAACTCATTGGTTGTTGGGCCTTGGCCATGGGATTGGTTATTCAGGTTCAGATGACATGACTTTCCTTCTGAGAGGAGGGTGCTTGCAAGAAAGTGCAAGAAACTGACCAAAAGACTCTGCTTGGCTTGGCCTTTGGGCAAATCACTAGTATAGACTGTCCTAGAAAAGTTACTGGTAGAATATATAAGGAGCAGGTAGCTGGTGATTGAAGGACCTTTGCCTGAGATCTTGGAGATCCACTGCTTATTAGAGTGGACAATATCACATGAGAAAGAGAATAGTCTGACCCAATATGAGGCAGCATCCTGCTTTCTAATGACAAATGGTGATTATGTGTGTGTACTGGCGATCCCAGCTCAAATGCTATAGCCAAGGACTTTTATGTTATCTTGCATAGTTCTCCTTGTTGAAAGTGGCAGACATGTTTTACTGCAAACCCTGAAGTAGGAAACATATGTGCAAGTCATCTGAAAGAAATTACCCATTGGAGTTGATCCAGTAAGTGGTATTAGGTGTTTAGGTTCTTGAGTTCTACAGAACTCTTCACAAGCAAAGTGAAAAGCTAGCTCATCCTCCAGCTGTGTATGGAGCATATTTAATTAGAAATTCAAATATGTTGTTCCACGTTGGATAATGATCTAATCCAAAAAACATTAAGCACATGATACCATTCATCGGTACAGATGTATAGGATATAGGCAGTGCCCAAAAACTCAAATGACTCTATTTAGTCCATCTGGATTTTACAGATAAAAAATAATATTCCTGGTACTGGTTGGGACTTCTCAAAATTGGCTTAAAATAGGGTCTTGTTCAAATTTCTAAAGTGGAATAAGAATGCCATTATTCCCCATGGTGAACTCTGCAGAATTGTGACCGCCTGTTTATGACTTGTTCTTTATACCTTGTTTGCCATTTCAGAGGCTCTAAAACTGATCTGTACTTTTGCCGTTAATCTGAAAATGTGTTTGTCTTCAAATACTCTAATGATACCAATGATAGCAGCCAGATAGTAAATAATTGTTTTTGGTGTATACAAAATTTAATAATGTCAATATTAACAGTATTGTGTACTGCTTGATTCATTTTTAGGGGTTTTATTTGGGCAGAGGGGAGCATTAATTTGCACTATTCAGTGCTGACTCAGATCTTCCATGAAGCTGCTTTTTATGTTTCCTATTCTAGCTTTACTCTCCTCCCCTTCACATTAAGACATATTTTGAAGAGCTGGATAAGTGAAAATAAATTATTCCTTATTAATATGTATTAGACTCCCTTTTGGCTGTTTCTGAAAGGATGCAGCAAAAACAACTGATAGCAGTTTTTTAAAGGTTTCTGTAATGCAACTTGGCTCAAACCAAGCTATATAGCTATTTTACTTTGAAAATGAAATAACAACAAAAGAAAGGGGGGGCATGAAAATGGGAGGGGAGGGAGAAACAATGTACAGCATATTTATTTACTTAAAACATTTATAAGCTGTCCTTCACTATCGCATCTCAGGACGGCTTACAAGATTAAAACAATCAATAAAACAAGCATATCCATTTGCAATAATAATTTACAACATCATTGATGAATGAAAGGAAAGGAATTAAGGAAGATAATTGCAGGGAAGGAGGTTAACATCTATTAAAACTGATACATTAATATAAGCAGCCTATATGTCTAAATCTATGTTGTAAGCCGCCCCGAGGCTTCGGCGAATGGGGCGGCATAAAAATGTTTTAATAAAAATAAATAAATAAATAAATAAGTATTCATGCAAAATTGCTGACTGTACAAGCTATGGTCAATTATGGCAAGCCCAGTTAGATCTTCAGATCATTGCATGATAGGTAGTAGACTTAAAATATGTGTGTCTTTGCAATGGTAATGGCTTTTTAACAAACCTCTAAAGGTCCCAAATCAAGCTGTGTATAATTTTCCCAACAGCAGCTTAGCTGGTTTTCTGGGATTGGACCCAGAAATGAACTGGTAGCACAGAAGTTTCTGAACAGATTAAATAGGACCGTGCCATCCTGAACCTGTTATCAGCCAAGCATCACCATCATATGTGCTATCTTAATTTCTTCAAGACCACAGCTAAACACTTCCATTGGATAGAGGCAAATCTACAATCACAATTACAATAATGCAAGATAGATTTGAGTACAGGATAACAGTGCTGGACATTGCAAATTCATATTCTGAAAAACAATCAAGTGTTATATGACCAGTCTGTTGCATATACTGTAAAAAGACTGCAGTTCTTTATTTGCTAAATGTAGTATAATATTCAGGCAAACAATGCATTGTCCACATATGCATTTGTCTTTAGTTGTTCCCTCTCTCTTCAAGCCATATCCATCTGAAGTCAGCAACTGGCTTTTATTTTAAACAAAGCAGCAGAGAATGAGTAAGAAAGAGATGTTGTAAGCTGAATAAATAGAGTTAACAAATGTGGTGCATTTTATTTTTGGATAAATCACAGGTACTTTGGAGTGGTAAAGGGCGCTTGTTGCTCTGCATCCTTACTCTTGGAGTTAGACTGGAAGGGAAGCAAATAAAATATGCTAAGTTGATTATGCAGTATCTGCCTCTCCTGCTTATACTTGGCAACTTGTATACCAGCAGCAGAAAGACCATTGGTCAGAGACAGAACACCTGCTCAGTCCCTGGCTAGGAAATGATCCTGCCTGAAATGCTGAGGAGCTTCTATCTGGCAGCATCAGTAGTGCTAGGCTAGATGGTCTGACTTAGTAGAAGGCAATTATCCTATTCCTATGAAACACAAGATGCTAATAGTTATACTGAACTCCATTTTCTGCATACCATCCCTTATGGTAGCCAGCATGGCACCATCCAGGCACAAGATGGTTCAGAGGGAACTTCAGAGTTTGTACAAGTACATACAATGTTTTTGGGAAAAAACACAGGTGGAGGTAACCACTACTGTCCACTCCCTTTTGGAATACAGGATGACTGTTAGAGGCACAGGAGGCCAGGAGGTGGGGCTGGCGCATTAAACGGAAGTGTTCTACATGGCTACATGTGGCATATCCCATTCATCTTGGCATGATTTTTCTACTTGTGTGGCTGTGTGCATAGCCAATTCCACAGAGCCTGTTCTGCTCAGCAGGTGCCCTTTCAGAGCACCATGCTTTATTTTTACATAGAAGTAAATTTTCACTGAAACTGTTCTTTTCTCTTTCAGCCATGAAGATTTTGAATTCATTTCAGGAACTCGTATGCGCAGGCTGGCTCGAGAAGGGCAGAATCCTCCTGAAGGTTTCATGGCTCCTAAAGCATGGACTGTGCTGACAGAGTATTACAAATCCTTGGAAAAAGCTTAGACTGCTTATTAACTTCAGCTCGATCTTTGACGCTTGATTTATTAACAAGAAGGGGGACCACACAGTCACTGTTTGGCACTGCTTTGTGTAGTGTCTATTGGGAACCTTTTCCCTAAAATAAAATCCTTTTCTCCTTAACTTAGCATCATTCTCTGCCTGTCTTATGGGTTCTATTACATATTGGCCCTAGCAAACTCCTGGTTTTAATGTTTTCCCTTTTATTACAATTAATATTCTTGCAGTAAAAATTTTAAATCTAACCTTTTTAATATTCTTTTTATGTTTCTTTGCGCTGTAGTTTTCTGTGTTGCTGCAGTTTTTCTTCCTTTCACATAATATAATGTAGCTCTCTCCTCTCCTCTCCTCTCCTCTCCTCTCCTCGTTTCCAAGATAAATATGGCAGTCTTGATTTATATGAACTAGAAATAGGTGCTAAATTTAATACATTTTTAAGAGGTACTACACTTGTACTTTCTGTTAGTGGTCTATTACGTTCTTGTACGAAATCTCCAAATCAGACTTCCATATACTACAAATTAAACTTTCTTTAAGGAATGCATGTTTCATTTATCTAGTCTCTTTGGAATATACAAGAAAATAGTGGTTTTCAGGTTATTGTGGACTGTGATGATTGGTTACAGGGCTGCTCAGCAAAAATGGCAGAAACACCTGTGTTTGCTTTAGTGATCTTGCCCTTATTCCAGTTCCAAAAAGGCACTTTGAAACGGAGATCATTTTATTTGACTGGAACATCAAAAATCAGAACATCACATTGGGGTCATAATTTCTGATGATTATTTTTGTCAGCCTTTTGCATGTGTGCTTTTATGGCTTTCTAATATATCTAGTCTTGTCTGGTAAGTGCCATTGTATATTTCAGTTGTCAGATGGAGCAGAGATGTGTAATGTGTAATGGTTGCCCAGAGAGCATGATGCTAACAGGCAGCTTTTAAACAAATCCAGTAAGTAAGTAAGTAAATAAATGAGGACTAGCCAGCATACTGGACAATTAACAAGAGAAGACTGCCCTCAGTTTGACAGACAAAAAGAGAAGATCCAATTGCCAAGGCGGAGCTAAGGCCTCCTCCCGGCTGGCATACTAATCGCCTTTGCCTTGCTCCCCTTCCTTATTGTTGGTGCTTCTGAACTGCATGACAAGGGCCCTGCTTTCTTTTACTGTTGTTTCTTCCCTGGCCCTTTGTAGTTGTGTGCAAAGCAGTCTATATGAAACCTCATTCTGTCAGACTCCAGCTACTCCCCTGTGAATGGTGCCAGACAGTAATGGACTAGATTTGTCAGTAGCCTGACTCTCTCTAAAGCAATTTCATATATTTATACGAACTTCTTAAGATACTTTAGCCCTTAAAAAGGGTTTCTCAGTGCAGAATGATGGCAAACTATAGTAAATATATCACTGGGCACTTAATTCCAGCAATTGAAAACCTACCTTTTCCAATTGAAAACCCACAGCATGTTTGGATGTTATATCTCAAGAGAAAAAGTGACTTTTGTTTTTAGTTTCTGCATTACTTCTGCATTGCATAAAAGTGCTTGCACATCTGCCCGAGAGAGAGAATATCTCTCCTATGGGACAGACGCATATTTCTACCCCACTGCAAGCGTTGTAGAACAAGCTTTTGCACTTCTGGTTACCCCTGCAAGTTTTACTGTTCCTGAGTGTCTCTTGTAACCCAACAAAAATTTCCACCTTTTTGTCTGAATCTGAATATCCTTGGAATTGTTCCCAATACTGTTTGATTTATAATAAGCTATCAAAAGGCCCTCTCCTCTGGGATCATGTTATATCTTTTCAAATAACAGTTTTGGGTTGCTCACTTTAAATTTAGATACTGACTTCACAATAGTCATTTTTTTGCCAGTCTGTGTTCCTTACCAATGTGCTGAAATCGCCACTTCTTAATCTCATTCAGAAGGACCATATGTCTCTTCTTATCCTAGTGTAACCTTGGAACTTTTCTTCTTCCCTATCAGAAATCATTTTGACACATGGAGCTCAATTGTTTCAGGGTTTGAGTAGAAACTAATAAAAGAATCTCCTGCTGGTTTTGAAGAACCCTAAAATAAATGAAGCAAAGGTGGGGGTGCTTTTTTCCTTTCCTCTGAAACTGAAGTTAATGAGGTGGATGGAGTTTACTAAATCTTGGGGTGAGGAGTTGAATAAGTGCTATAAAACCATTACAGTTCATCAATGAGATATCTATTCCAGATGATGCTTTCTTCTCTAACCTACTTTAAGTGACGTCAATTATTCCTCTGGGGTCAACAAAAAAAAGCAAAAGGTTAGCTATAGACTGTTTTTCCAAGATGGAGGCTCCAAATTGTTTATTTTTAAAGCTATATAAATTCACATTCAGAATCTGGGGTCCTGAACTTGGATGGTGAATTTGCTTGCTTAATGAAGATTAAGGATGCTGGCTTAGATCTGTGATGCTCAGTTAGATCTTAAACCCTGGATTGCTCAGTAAGTACTACCAGACATGAAATTGTTTCATAAAGCTAGTAAAACTAAAACCTGGATGCAGTCCAGAGGTCTACGTTGCAAATAATACCACCAATAAAAATCAGTAAGGAGAAACCGCAATTGATGTTTTTGCGGGTTTCAGTTTTGTTATCTTTGATTGTCTTAGGAGATTTGCAAGCAAAGCATTACAATCAGTCTCATTCACTTTTTTAAGGGTCACAAAGTGTGTGCTATAAAGACTCTGGGAAGCAAATGTTTTCCTAGGAAGAAAGCTCAAAGAAATACTATGTCTTGATACTTTGCTGGCAAAATGGCACAATTCCTTTTTGATATGAGCTTGAAGGCAAACATGGCTAAAATTGATTGGATTGATTGATCAGAGGGCAGTTCAGAATGTTGTAAATATGGCACCTCCCTGCTCAATTTTTTTGAATTATTTTCAGCTTCTGGATCTTGAAGATGTGAATATGCTGTCTGAAGCAGTGCATTCAGTCCCTGACCTTCTTGGCTGATTAAATTGGCAAGAGGGAGTGATGCTGTGGTTAAGGAAAGTGATTAATACCTGAAAGGAGTATTAATTTGAAGGAGTATTAAACCTGAAGGAGCACTTATGTCCATATATGCCCCTCCGCCCCCTGAGATCAGTGGGAGAGGCCCTTCTCCGGGAACCTTCCGTGAAGGAAATTAGGAGGATAGGTACTCGGAGGAGGGCTTTCTCTGCGGTGGCGCCTAATCTATGGAATATGCTCCCCAGAGAGGTCTGCCTGGCGCCGTCATTATTTATTTTTCGGCGCCAGGTGAAGACCTTTTTATTCAAGCATCATTTTAATTGTTAATGTTATTTTTATTTTAAAGTTTTTTGGCCAGGATGACTTATTTTATACAGTTATGTGTATTTTATATTGTTATTCATGTATTTTTATTTATTTATTTGTAAGCCGCCCTGAGGCTTTGGCGAATGGGGCGGCCTAGAAATTTTCTAAATAAATAAATAAATAAATAAATAAAACCTCGTTGTAGGAGAGGGATAAGACCTTTATTAAACCTGTGCATGCCCAGGAATTGGCTAACTATACATAGGTCTCAAATGTCCCTTTCTTGGCTAAGTTGATCAAGTAGGTTGTGGTGTTGCAACTCCAGATGAATTTGGCTGAAACTGATGGTCTGGATCCATTTCAATTGGGCTTTTGGCTGGATTATAAGACTGAAAATGCTTTTGTTGCCTTGGTGGATGACCAGTACCATGAACTGGTTATTAGGTCTCTTAGGACTCTCAGTAGTCTTGAGCACCTCCAACCATGATATCCTGGACCACTTGGCATAGCTGGGACCTGGATTGCTTATTTTATAGTGTCCCTGGTCCTTTCTGTTTGGTGATGGTCAGAAGGTGGTTCTTGAAGATGACTGTTTGACTCCACCACTTCACAGGAGCTGTTTGACTCCAGCTACCCACAGGGTTTTATCTCGTCCTCCAAGTAGTTTAGTATTTATATGAGATCATGCAAGAGATAATTTGAAACTGTAGAGCAAGGTAATGCAAATAGTTTTACATATATCTGGATTTTGGTCAGTGTTGCTTAGAGATTCATGCAGAAAAATATTACCCTTCCTCAAGTGCTAACTGTGTTTATGAGAATAAGAGTAGCCCAAACAGTTGTATCCTTCCCACTATACTATTTTTAATGGTGGACATTGCTCTTTACCCTTTCATTTTTTTAGAGCCAACTGCAGCTAATATCAGTTGCTTAGGAATTATTATTAGTTCCAGCTGCAGTTAGAGAATCCACTTTTATGACGATTAGCTTCAAATTGGAGATGTAATCATAGTTTCCAGATCAAGAACTGTTTGTACCAGTCATTTGTGAAATTCCAGATTGTTGAAGTTACATGTATTGAGAGTGTGCATTATTAATGTGCATCCAGCATGGAAGCTGAATTTCAAATTGGCACATATAAAGAAGGGTAGACCGAAGCTGTACTTTCAGCCACCACAACTGAGGCAACCACAGTTCTTTCTGCAGGAGTTGTAAGGGGGCAACAAAAGGGGTATGGGAAGGATCATATTCAGGCATTCTCCTTTGGGATTGTAGGAGTGCTGACATCCTTGAGGTGGTGGGGACCCCACAGAATCCTATGTTGCCTTGGATGTTCTCCAGGGACCAGAGGAATACCCTCATATATTTCTGAATGGCTTTTCAAAACCATGGGCCTTCTGTTTCAGTTACATTGCCACTGCATGGAAGGGAACTGATAGCAGTCCAGAAAGCTCAACATCTAAATTATAAAGATGGGAGAGGATGAAGAGTGACCGATCACAAGCAGGGATGTGTAGTGGAGAATCCAACAGAAGTTAAAGTGATAGCTGCTGAGTCCCTCAGAATGAGAGCAAGAAAGGGAGCAATCAGACTGGAATAACAGAAAGATAAGAGTGAGAATTGGATGCTAGTTTGGACATACCCCGACACTAGTTTATTTCTTATCAGTTTATATACCCAACATGAGTTGCAACCAAACGTGAAGTGAATCTGTTGGAAAGTACTATTCTGCCAGGTGGTGATATGAAGTTCCTTCTCTGGTGTTAGGTCTGCATAGCTCATTCTTCCATGCAGTCACTCCAACTGTGCACCAGGCCTGACAGGTGTTCATTCATGGAAATGAAACAATGGTGAAAAATACTGCTTTTTTGATGCCGCAATTCCAATTGCACTTAGAAGAGGGTGAGCACTTCTGGACTTCTGAGTAGGCATGCATGGAATTGTGCATAACTCTAGAAGTTTGTGCTGTTTCACAATATGGTTTTCTTGATCAACTGTACATTTGCAGAGGAGATCAAGAATTAGAACAAGGTGTGTGAATTGGTATTGGTGGTGGGAGGCAATCTAAATGATGAATAGACTGGTTCAATTTCCCTACAAGGAAGTTTGTAACAATTTAGCTTAGAAAAGAGGTAAGTGTGGGGAGACACGAGAGAGGTGTACAAAATCATTCAGGCTGTAGATACAATATTAGTCTTTGGGTCCACCCCATGAAGCTACATGGTAGGAGATTCAAGACACATAAAAAGTACTTCTTC